CTAGGATAGTGCTGAGAAGGGAGGAGGAGGAAATGTTATTGTTTGGAAGGGGAGTCCCCTTCTCTTTTCTGTCTCTTTTCCCTATTTGGACCTTGTTGAAGCTCACCAGGTTTGACTTTTACTAAAAATCTGTCCAAAGAACTCTGCTTCTGCCTTCTCCTCTGGATGTTTTGGAAATGTGACAGTGTCTGGTCATTCCAGACAGTGGTATTACAGCTTGTTAGGGCTTTGTTGGGGTGGTACTTCTCTGCAAAGTTTTTGATGTCCATACATTTGGCAAAGATTTCCTTGATTAATGAAGTAGCAGCTTCCTCTATCTCCTCTTTCAAGCCTGAAGAGAGTGCATCCATCTTAGTCTTGTGCTCCTCCTTCTGATTCTAGTGGGCAGTCGTGGCTTTAAAGTAGTCTACCAAGCAAAAATTTTCGCATCCAAACAACACGTATACCAAGTTGGACTTATTCCAAAGCGGACATATACCAAGGTACCACTGTACTTGAACAGGGAATATTTAAAAAGGCCTATGCCTTTTAGGCATACTGATTTTTCTTCAGGCTTGCTTACTGCACCTCTAGTTTTTTATTATTGGGTATTTTGCACCATCTACCATGTCTCCCACAATCATAATGAATTAGTGTCCAAATGTGAAAACAGTCCCTCCAGTATTTTTCAAATGAAAGTTATAACATTATATTTCTTTCTCAGTTTTGCATTCCATTGATGTTAGTTATTCCCCTGTTCCTAACATCCCTTTTCTGCTTTATCAAATAGTTTCACAAGCAGGTATTTACCATACCTTGTTACACAGCCATACATAACTGCAGGCCTGACCAATCAGGAGGAGGCACTGCCATCTATTAATCTGATGAACTAGAATGTATGAAATCAACTAATGTATGGGACAAAAACAGTGAATATATAATAGCTAAATTTACATCAAGAACATTTAAGAAACCTATAACAGTTGGTGTAGTCTACAGACTACCACACTCAAATAGTACTTACACTTTTAGCAGTAACCTTAGAAACATGATAATTGAGTCAGAGTTGAATAAACACCATCTGATACTAGCAGGAGACTTCAACATCAACCTTATCCAAGCAACTGACCCTCCAGTAGCTGATTTCACAAATGCTATGAACAACAGCTTGTTGCTACCCTCGATAACAAAGCCAACAAGAATCTCTGAGACAAGTGCCTCATTACTTGACCATATCTGGACCAACATGATATCCCCACTACAAGCAGGTATAATCATAGACAACACTACAGACCACTACCCTACCTTTCTCATAACCAACTTACCTAAACTGCCTCAAGAAACAAGAAAGATCTCATTTCGCCTGCATGATGAGACATCGATAAATAACCTAAAACTAGCACTAGGTGCCATTGATTGGCAGAGAGAGCTATATGACAGTAATAATATCAATAAATATATCAAAATTTTTTTACATAAAACCCTAAACCTCTGTAACAAACATTGCCCAATCAAAACGAAACAGATCACAGAAAAGAGGCTAAACAGCCCATGGCTAACAAAAAGTATTCTCAAATCTATTAATAAAAAACACCAAATTGAAAAACAGTTCAGATTAGGCTTAATTATTAAAGAATTTACTAAAAGATACACATCAATACTCGCAAAACTAATACGTAAATCAAAACAAATGTACGTACAGTATTATGAAAATAGATTTAGTGAAATGAAAGGTGACATGAAAAGTACCTGGCGAACCCTCTCCAAAATTTTGGGCTCAAGGAAACCGACTGGAAATAGAGAGATAGACTTTAAACCAGATGAACCTCACATGCAACCTATAGACACAGCCGACAGATTTAATGTCTTGTTCTGTACTGTAGGATCAAAGGTAGCAAGTCAAATTCCTAGCTCAAATACCTAACCGAGTGAGTACCTCACTGGCAACTATCCAAATACTCTATTTCTAGCTCCACCTATTCCCACTGAAGTCTCACTCGTCATTAAATCATTAAAGAACAAATCAGGTGGTCTAGATAACTTGCCGCCATTCATATATAAAAAAGCTGCACCAGAACTGTCACCCATTATTGCAACAATGTTTAACAAATCTGTAGCATCCTCAACCTTCCCATCTATACTCAAGACAGCAAGTGTCACCCCAATCCACAAAGGAGGAGATCCAACTGATTTGAACAATTACAGACCTATATCAAACTTGCCCTTACTCTCCAAGATATTTGAAAAAATAATACACAAGCAACTTTACTCCTACCTTACATCCAACAATATACTTAACCCATGCCAGTTTGGGTTTAGACCAAAAACAAGTATGAGTGATGCTATTATACAAATGCTTGACCTAATATACACAGTTCTCGATAAAAATGAATATCCTCTGGGGCTCTTTATCGACCTACGAAAAGCATTTGACACAGTTGACCACAATCTCTTGCACCTCAAACTGAATCTTTACGGCATAAGAGAGCATTCTCTTGACTACCTAAAATCCTATCTTAACGACAGACACCAGTATGTACATGCAAATGGAGTCAACTCCACTATCCAACCTGTAGCTGTAGGAGTACCTGAGGGTAGTGTCCTAGGCCCACTCCTCTTTCTCATCTACATCAATGATCTCCCCAATGCATCCCAACTCCTTAAACCAGTTCTATTCGCAGATGACACTACATATGTCTACTCCCATTCAGACCCAGCTGTGCTTGGAAACACTGTAAACAGTGAACTGCTAAAGATATATGCTTGAATGACGACCAACAAACCCACTCTCAACATAGATAAAACATACTTCATGCTGTTTGACAACAGAGCCTAAAATATTCAACTCGACATACTGTTAAATGGTTCCCCTATATCAAGACACACGGAAGGCAAATTTCTAGGTCTTCTCCTTACTGTAATCTTAAATTTCAGTCCCATACCCATCACATAGCCAAGAAAATTTCCAAATCAGTAGGAATCCTCTCCAAGATACGATACTATGTACCACAAACGACTCTCCTTACCCTGTACCACTCTCTAATATATCTTTACCTCACCTATGGTATTTGTGCCTGGGGCTCAACCCACTGCCAACCACCTTAGACATGGTATTTGTGCCTGGGGCTCAACCCACTGCCAACCACCTTAGACCCTTAATAATCCAACAAAAAGCTGCTGTGCAGGTGATAACCAGCTCTTGTGCTAGACAGCACACCCCATCACTTTTCAAAAGACTCAACTGGCTAAATATACAAGACTTACACTCTTATTATTGTGCCTACTACATATACAGAACTTTAAACTCCACTGTAAACCCTCCCCTAAAACTACTACTTGACAGTCACAACAGAATGCACAGTCGCAATACAAGGCATAAGGCACTTTTCAACATCCCTCGAGTCAGACTCTCACTATGCAAGAACGCTATACACATAATAGGCCCGAAGGTCTGGAACTCGCTACTGGAACAGGTCAAGGATCCCCAGACAGCTTATAAATTTAGGACTTAGCTAAAAAATCATCTTTTCTCACAATATTAACCAAATCAACCAAACATCTGCTAACTAGTTTCATCATGGGACCTCTAGGCTCTAAATTCTGCCAGTCCATAAAATCATTTTGTTTCTCAATATTAACCAAATCTACCAAAACATCTGCTAATTAGTCTTATCATGTGACCTCCTGGCTTTTAATTCTGCCATTCCATAAAATATTACCACCTGCACCATTACTTGCAAATTAGATTTTGTACTAAGTTTAAATAAGATTATAAAACAGCTAACCACTATTCCTTGTTTAGTTTTAAGTATAGTTACTATGCACCGTTATCTTATCTAGTTTTAATTATTTACTATGTATTAGGATTAGTTTGCCCAAAATGCCTTGGCATGATAGTGGCTATCTTTGTACTTAGCAAATCAAAATTGTAATTACACATTGTAACCTTTACAAAGAAATAAACTTTATTTATTGATTTATTTATTTACTCCACTGAAACCTATGGTAATTTTACATGCAGAAATAGGGTTATGTTCGATTTATGGGTAGGTGAAAACATATTGGCAGTTTGGAGGGATATGTTGTGTATCTTTATATGTGTATGCTTCTAAACTGTTGTATTCTGAGCACCTCTGCAAAAACAGTGATAATGTGCGAGTGTGGTGAAAGTGTTGAATGATGATGAAAGTATTTTCTTTTTGGGGATTTTATTTCTTTTTTGGGTCACCCTGCCTCGGTGGGAGACAGCCGACTTGTTGAAAAAAAAAAAAAAAACATACGATAGGCCTAGTGATCACCAGAACACCTTATTTCAGCTTGAAATCCTCACCAATCTTACAAATTCATCACAAGCATTAAATTTACATTAAGTAAGATTTACCAGTACATGGTATGTTAATTCTAACACAAAATTAATTTGATTTATGGGTTGGTTAAAACACTACAGTCACAAACACCACTCAACATGTGACAAAAACATAGTTTCAGCTACGAGAGGTGTGTTTCTATAGCACCATTAGCAAACGCCAGCAAAAGCATCTCAAAACCAGAAAAATCACTGTTTTCATCATTCTGTACTCTAATTTTGAAACACTGGACTTGTTTTAGTTTCAGTGGCTTGGCATTGGATATAACTGGGAGAGCTACAGCCCACCTCACACCCCAGACTTATAGCTCTCGTCAATGACCTTCAGTTTATAGGACGCAGGGTGGTTTTTGGAGATATTTTATAAAAAAAAAATGTCTAATAAACTGCAAAATACGATATATTGATTATGAGTATTCAGAAACGCTAAATCTAGAAGGTCATGCAGTGCCTGGGCAGTAACATGGATAATCAGATTTAAGGACTAGGAGGGTAGTTTAAATTCCTTTGATCAAGAGCTCTTCACCAGCATCAGTGCACTCTTTCCCTCCTTGAAGGGTGGGGTGCTGTATATTTTTCAGTTCAGGGGTAAATGCTATCTATATCTTACCCACAATTTCTTGCACACAGTATATGATATGATTTAACGTTGCAGGTACCACTTTATCTCATGAAGCTGGATGTCACCCTAAAGAGGATGTGACAGTTCTCTCTGTTATTCTTAATGCTCATCTTCCCACGTTGGATTCTAAAGCACGGGTCAGACTTCTTCGTTCTGCAATTAAGTTCTTGGGAGCAAAAGAGGTAAGTTCTATACAATAGTATTGTATAATGTGAAAATTAATATACATTGAAAATTGTTAGGTTAGTAATTAAGAGATGGTACAGTACTGTATATAACTCAAAAATAATTTTCTAACAATTGCTCATGTTCATGGCTTCCCATCTTAAATTAGTGTATAGATAGTAAATTCCTGATGTGGCATGTTCTACCTCCTGTTGGATCAAATTTCAGATGTACAATACCACTGTTTGAGTAGTATGTACACCTACCATCCGACTTATGACCGAGTTCGGTTCCGAGAAACTGGTCGTAAGTCGAAATGGTCATAAGTCGAACTTTACTACTGAATATCGACAAAACATTTTTGTAATGACTTTATTTTATTGTTTTATTTTGGTATTTCATGTTTTACTTTACTTTTTATGCTGTTAGTACTGTATTTTATACTGTAAGGTTTAGGATAAACACTGTGTACAACACAAATAGTTGTTTATTTCCCAGAAATTTGGCATAAAAAACACGGTCGTAAGTCGAGTGGTCGTAAGTCGAGCAGGTCGTAAGTCGGATGGCAGGTGTACTTCGTTTTTCTGAACCTCTTCAGTTTGAAATTGCAGCCTCTTGTTCTCTTTGATGCTCTTTCCAAAAAAATCATACCTATCTGTTTCCTCCCACATCATCTAATAAATGTGACTTTGTGTTTATAATTACTAGCACAGTACAAGCCTTTTCTGTTAATTCTTCTTTCTAGGTAGGTATACCTGTGACTGGTTTCAATTCAATCCTTGCAGTCCATCCTGATGCCAGGTGTTCTCATTCATAAAATGTTCCACATGTGTGGTACCCAGATGTGGCATTCTTGAATTGCCCGAGTATACTTATCTCCAGACCTATTGAATCTTTAATAGACAGTACAGTGGACCCCCGGTATTCGATAAATCCGGTATTTGATGCATTTTAAAGCAAAAATTTTGCCTCGGTATCCAATTGAAAACCCGGTATTCGATACGATTTGTACGAGATGTGTCCACGTGTGGCCTGAACTGCCCCGTGTGTGCCAGTGTTTACAAGCCAGCCAGTGTGCGCGCATCTAAGGATACATTCGGTACATTCCATATTATCACTGTTTTTGGTGCTTGTTTCTGCAAAATAAGTCACCATGGGCCCCAACCTGTGGTAAAAAGAGTGAGAATTAGTATGGAAATTAAGAAAGATTTTGAAGGGTTTGGGGCTAACCCTGAGAAGCCTATGCCATTTGTGGAATCCATTGTGCCTACTTCAAAAATTAAGGAAATGTGTGCACAGTTGGTTGAACTGCAAACCTTTATGGATGAAAATCACCCTAACACAGCTATTGCAAGCCGTGCTGGTGACTATTACAATGACAATGTTGTGGCCCATTTTAGACAAATCGTAAAGGAACGGGAGGAACAGAGCTCTATGGACAGATTTGTTGTGCGACAGAGGTCCAGTGACTCTGAAGCTGGTCCTAGTGGCATTAAAAGAAGGGAAGTAACCCCGGAAAAGGACTTGCTACCTCAAGTCCTAATGGAAGGGGATTCCCCTTCTAAACACTAACACCATCCACACTCTCCCCTCCTCCCATCCCATCAATCATCACCAGATCTTCATTAAAGGTAAGTGTCAATTATTCTATTGTTATTGTAATTATTCTATTGCATTAAACTTAATATTTCATGTGGTAAAATATTTTTTTTCATACTTTTAGGTGTCTTGCACGGATTAATTTGATTTCCATTATTTCTTATGGGGAAAATTGATTCGCTTTTCGATATTTTCAGTATTCGATAAGCTCTCAGGAACGGATTAATATCGAATACCAGGGGTCCACTGTATAATACTACTCAGATTTTGGTTGCCCATTTTTTGTTATGGCATTTGCAGGTTCCTATGTAATTTTTAATATACTTAGTTATATAATACAGTGTTATATGCTGGTACTGTACACCAAGATGACTATTCGGCCATAGTGAATAAACTAGAGTTTTTAGGCTATTAAGTGAGAGAGCTGAGGTAACTTATGATTAATAAGATACCATTTCTTTGACAATATGAATTTAAAACCTATTTTTAACACACCAGCCATTTCCTCCAAGGAAGGGTAACCCAAAAGAAGTAGAAACACTTTCACCATCATTCATTCAATCACTGTTTTGCCAAAAATCTTGACATCACAGCTTGGATGACTCTCTGAGCTACAACATCCCCACTCCTCCTTCAGAGTGTAGGCACAGTACTTTTCCACCTCTGATACTTCCCTTTTTGTCTCCACATGCCTTGATATCCCACTCCCCTTTTATCCCCTGTCTTGTCAATTCTGTGGTCCACTCCCGAATATCTAATTACATTTACTCTCTCCATGCTCCCTCCTTCCACTCTGGTATCCAATCTCTCATTTCCTAGCTTTTTTGTTATGGTCATTACCCTGCTCTTTCTGATGCTCACTTTTTATTTCATTTTACCTACCCTTCCATATTAGTCTACCAACCTTTGCATCTTCTCTTCATACTCTCCCAAAAGGACTGTGTCACTGGCAGAAAAGCAGTCGTGACAACTCCTTTGTATCAAATTCATTATATTTTAATTCCACAGCTCTCCCCAACACCCTAACAAACATTCGTTTCTTTTACAGCCCCAACCATAAATGTTAAATAACCATGATGTCACATTCCTGTCTAAACACACCATTTACTGGAAAATAATCCCCATCTCTGCTATATACTCTAACCTGAGTGCCTCTGTAGCCAGATTAAAACTCTGCCTCTTTTAATAACCAACTGTTTATTCTATACATTTGCCACACTGCTCCCCTATCCATCCATCCTATCTTATGCCTTTTCTAAATCTGTAGATGTAACAAAGACTCCTTATCTTTACCTAAATACTGTTTGCTTATATACTCTACTGTAAACACTTGGTCTTCATATCCCCTACCCTTCCTAAAACCTCTCTGTTCATCTGCAGTCCTACTGTTTTACCTTTTAATTTTTTCATTAATAAATCTACAGGAGGGGTGTTAATGTTGCAATTTTATAACTTACTTAGTGTAAGTGCGCCTCTGGCAAGACAATGATGGAGTGAATGATGATGAAAGTTTTTCTTTTTCCGGCCACCCTGCCTTGGTGGGGGAAGGCCGATGTGTTAATTAAAAAAAAATAACATCTTGCCCGGTATGCTCAGTAGGCTTATTCACTTATAATTCATATGCTCTCCTTTATCCCTTTTTCTCACATATACAGTGGAACTGTACATGCTTTCTGCCAGTCCCTAGGTACCTTCCCCACCTTTCGTACATGTAATGAAGAAATGCATCGGCCTTTTCAAAACTATATTCCCACCTGCTTTTAACATTTCTGTCTTAGTCTCATCTATCCCATATGCTTTGCCTCTATTCATTCTACCTACTGCCTCATGAACATCCCCTACATTCACATCTGGCTCTACCTCATTTCTACGAGATAGTATACCTCTTTCCAATGCATGAAATCACTGCCTTTTTCTTCATGAGCATTCAGCCTGGTCAGGAACCAAGCTTTGGGGGCCTTGACCCTTGGAATACCCTCCAGGTAACCTGGAATATTTCTTCTGTCTTCCCAATACCTCCACCTCCCCATCTGATAATGGCCCTAGGCCTAGGCTTTCTCATCCTCTTGATTTCAAAACTTTCTTCTTCTCATCAAAATTTGATGGTAAAACTTCACCCACTCATTCTTATTGTTTGGCTCTCCTTTTGAACTCTCTCTCCACTTTTTTAGCCTTTCCTTTACTCTCTGAATACTCCACCCTTCCCACATCACTTCTACACTGTAAATACTTCTCTTATGCTAATTTTTTCTCCCTTACCACCCACTTTACCTCATCATTCCATCAGTTGTTTCTCTTCCCTCCTGTATCCAACCTTCTATACCCACAAACTTCTACTGCTCACTCTTAACACTTCATTCTTAAATCTACCCACACCTCATTGATCCCTTCCTTATTACCTATACTCACTCTCTAGCCCATTTTACTCCCAGTAATGGCTCAAATCTTACCCTAACTTTATATCTCCTTTAATTTATTAACTTTCACTTCTTTCTTACTCACTGATGACATTCTCCATGTACCCCATCTACCTTATTCTCACCACTAATAATGTGATATATTTGTCACCTCTTTACAAGCGTGCACATCCTGTAGTCTACCCACCAACCTTTTATTTACTAATACATTGTCTAACAAACTGCTGTCATTATACTTTGTATCATATCTCATTTACTTAGTTATCTCCTTTTTTCTTAAAATATGCATTATCTATTACCAAACCTATTTCTGTACATAGATTAAGAGGCTCTATTATCATTTACCCCTGGTACTCCTAACGTACCTATTAAGTCCTCTGCAACAGTTTCTCCCAGTTCAGCATTTAATTCCCCCACAATTATTTTCTCACTTGGTTCAAAGCTTTCTAAAAACTTGCTTAACATCTTCCAAAGATGTCTCTCTGTCTCTGAACATTTTTTACCCAGATGCATAAACATTTAATATAACCTACTTTTCACATCTCACCCTTATTTTAATTCACAAAATTATTGAATTTTTTCACTCCTATAACCCTCCCCAGCCTGGTTGACCGGGCTAGTACCAGATGAACCTGACCCATAGTTGGGCTCTGTGAGTAAAAAGATTCACAAAACTCATTAAAGGTAAATCCCCTCATCCCCTTCCCTAGCTGATTATTTAACCCTTTTGAGAGTCCAGATCATGGATCAGAAACATGTCCACAGGATCCAAGAATTAAAAAAAAAGAAAATCCTATGAAATGATAATCTTTTTCCAAAGGTAATGACACCACAAAAGTACAAAATTTGGTGGAAAACTTGTGGAATTACGCTTTTGCAAAGTTAGCAGTCTTGGTGATATTTATGCTTTAGCAATTTTGCCCACTCTAAGTCCTATTTTAGACCAATTCTATTGTTCCAATTGACCAAACTCTTAGCTTTTTTGCTAGTATGCCTTCCATTCTGTCGATTGAGTACAAGAAACCACCCAATTAACTATTTCAACTACCTAATGTTATCAGAAATCAGTAATTTGGCCAGTTTCACACAAAATTAAAGAAAAGGCCAATTTAAAAATAGGGTCCAGAATAAACAATGCAGACATTCCTGGCACTGAAACTTTTCCTCTGTCCATTAGTTACTTACCATTTTGAATTTTTATTCACACAAAAAATGGAAGATTTACTGTTATGCTGACTTTTGCATTATTGTAAAAATTGTATAAATAATGTCAGTGAATATGTATTAGACCGACCAGTTGATATATATTGGATGAGTGAAGTAATTTGTGTTCTCTGGAATATTGGCAAAATCGAACTTTGAGCTCAATTTAAAGCTACTGAAAGTTCTGAAACTGATCAAAATCATCTCTATTTCTGTAATATATCTTCCATTCTATCAAAAAAAACATCCAAAAATACACTGCAAATTTTAAACCAAATACAAGTACACAGTTTTTTCCCCATCATGCACTAGGTGGGGCAGGATTTTTTTATACAGTGGACCCCCGGTTAACGATATTTTTTCACTCCAGAAGTATGTTCAGGTGCCAGTACTGACCGAATTTGTTCCAATAAGGAATATTGTGAAGTAGATTAGTCCATTTCAGACCCCCAAACATACACGTACAAACGCACTTACATAAATACACTTACATAATTGGTCGCATTCGGAGGTGATCGTTATGCGGGGGTCCACTGTATTGTGCACATTCACCACATAGACGCATTCTCTCATATCTAGGCCCAGATTTACCACTTACAGATCATTTGAGTGAGCTGAGCTCATCGCACAGTATTATGGCACAGACCCTGAGCTCAGAGCCATTGTACTACAGCAGGGACCTTGAAAGGGTTAATATTATCACTATCCACTTTTTAGCTCTGATTGTCTCAGATACACCCAATTGAACTCTCATTTACTCCTCCCCACTTAAATTCTCCTAACCCTTTAAGTTTTATTTCACTTAGAGCAAGGACATCCAGCTTCTTTTCATGACTTACACAGCCTTGGCCCATGGCCTGGCTCTGGGAGTAGAAAAACTCTCGGAACTCATCAAAGGTACATCAGTGGTTCTCACACATACACATTCAAGCATCCCAGCCTTAAAAATTAGTTGCCTTTTATGGCTTACGCAGAAATCATTCTTCTAATACAATTATGCACTTTTAAAGTGTAAAAATCTTCAGTTACTGATACACCCATCATGGCACTGCAGTGTCTTGGCCGTATACTTTGATAACCTTCCTTTCATCAGCCATCAAAGGAAGGGAAAAGGTTCCTGGAGATCACTGAAGAGCGCTTCTTTAAAAGAATTCGGGCTACTCTTCTTTCTTTGGATTGCACCTGATTATCTCCTTGTGCAGAAATATTGTCTGACCCAATGGACTTAACTCTTCCCCACAATAATGATTATGGATAATTAGATCTCTTGTTGATGGCTTATGTTTAAAATAGATTTAAACTTATTCTCCAGTTTCATACAGACATGGTTAAGGTTGGTACTTATTTGCATTTTATTTGACTAAATTTTAAAAGAAAATACAAAAGGTTCTAGATTTTATTTCTCTCTTAGGTATCCCTGGTATCTGCTCCACACGACTCTGATCCTCTAGCAGATGACTCTGCCATTCTAGCAGGGCCAGGGAGTGCCAGGCTGACCAACACTGGCCGCCGCTCAGAGAGCCTGTCTCAGCTGCAGTGGGTAGTGGGATGTGGTGGTGAAGTGTCCAAGAACAAGCAAAAGGAAGTTGATCATACTGAAGCAACAGCCAAGAATGGAGAGCTACAACGAGTGCTGTCTGTTCCAGTTTTAGGTTGGCATGTGACCCAGGTATTGTTAGGTTGACTTTTGTTAATATTTATATATTTCATACCTTGAAATTGTGTTGGTTAAGTAAATTTTTGTTTATTTTTTTTTTTACACTTAAGAGGGTTATTTCCAGCTATGTTGAAGTAAAAATACTAACAAATTTTGCTGGAAATTATCTAGATGTATTAGGGTTATATAATGGGTTATCTTGTATTCAATTTTATTCCAATCTGAGTGACAACTGTCTTTAACACTGGCCGTCTCCCACTGAAATAGTGTGACCTGACAAAGGAAACACTTTTATGTCTTGCCAAAAGTGTTATGACATCACACTTCAGTTTACTCTCCAAACCATAGTATCCCCACCCCTCCTTCGGAGTTCAGGCATTGTACTTCCCATCTCCAGTACTGAAGTCTGGCTAACTGGTGTCCCTGTATACCTTCATAAATGTTACCTTGCTAACACTCCAACAGCATGTCAAATCATAAGAACCACATGCCTCCACTCACTCCTATCTAATACACTCAAACAAGCCTACTACATATCCAAGCCCCCTAGCATTCAAAACCTCCTTTACCCCTTCCTCCCTCCAACCTTTCCAAGGATGGCCCCCTACCCCCCCACCCTCCTCCCTAGATTTACATGCCTGTCTAGTCATCTTGTTTTTCTCCACATTGTTATTTTATTTTTAAATGTTTAAAACTAGTCTGAGTATAACATGTATGTTATGGCATGAAGTTAACAACTCATCTAAACCACTCCTAATTAATAATAAGAAATATGACTACTCTTTGGTTTTAAAAGCACTGCTGCATGCTTTGGCATAGAATCGACCAATGTTGAACACATTTTGTCAAGTTCTTTGTTGTGGTACCAGGTCCTGATAACAGCAGCAATTAGCTTCTCCATAGTTGAACAGTCCTGTTTTGCAATCCTGCATTTGGTTATTACCCATAGATTCTCAAATAGGTTGAGGTCAGGAGAGTTTCCAGGCTAATCTAGAATGCTTAACCCACTCTCTTCGAAGAATGTCAGCATTTTTCTGGAAGTGTGGCATGGAGCAAGATCCTGATGAAAAATGCCTTCTCCATTAGGAAAGTCTGTCCACAATAGGATTGCCTTGTATTTGTCACTGTTCATCGTTCCCTCAACAATAACAAGTCATCCACGGCCTTGAGCAGTAAAACTACCCTAAAACATCTTTGGTTGGTATTTTGGCACTTGTTGAATGTGTCCATTCCAAAGAGGTTTGCCTTTGCTGTCTCACTACTACTGATCAGTACCGATGTATTTCAAAATGCACCAGATCTGAAAACATAATTTTTCTTCATTCATCTGTTGTCCATCCCTTTTGATTGAGTGTCCACCCCAGCCATTTTTTTCTTCATAGCAGTAGTCAGTAATTGTTTCTTTACCAGCTTTCTGGCAGTTCTGCCAACTTCAAGGAGCTTTTGCCGAACAGTTGAAGAATCAACATTTGTGCTGGTTTCCTTGGGATACTTCACACTATTTCTTATGATAACCCTGTCATCATGAGGTATTGTCTTGTGTTTTCTTTTACATCTTCCCTGACACAGCACTCCACAATCACCAGTGTTGTCAGCTATCTTCAGAATCTGACCAATAGTTGATTTTGTTAGGCTCAGATTTTTGGTAGACTGTCTGATACTCAAATCAGCATGTTTTCTAGGAGCTACAATACTTGCATGCTTCGTAGGTGTAACATCCTTCATGAATTTTAGCAGTAATTATGAATTGAAGGGGAGAACTTGGTGAACCACATTCACTCACATAGCATGCTTGCAGAAATAGCCTTACAGGACAACACTGTTGTAGCACTGACGAGTCGCTGGTAGCAAACTATCTGTGATGGATATGTGGGGCAGCAACAGCCTGGTTGACCAGGTTAGCCCCAGACGAGGTTGTCCCATGGCCGGGCTCCGGAAGTAGAAAGACACTCGAAACTCATTAAAGGTATAGCAAAGGTGAAAGGTACATTAATTAAGCCGGAGACTAAAACATTATTTTTTTTATTAACGCATCAGCTGCCTCCCACCAAGACAAGGTGGCCCAAAAAAAGAAAAAACTTTCATCATCATTCACTCCATTACTGTCTTGCCAGAGGCATGCTTACACTAGTTATAAAACTGCAACATTAACACTCCTTTAGAGTGCCGGCACTGTACTTCCCATCTCCAGGAATCAAGTCCGGCCTGCTGGTTTTTCTGAATCCCTTCTTAATTAATTATATGTTACCTTGCTTACACTCCAACAGCACGTCAAGTCCTAAAAACCATTTGTCTCTATTTGCTCCTATCTGACATGTTCATGCACGTTTGCTGAAAGTCCAAGCCCCTCACACACAAAACCTATAATAATGAGATAATCACAAAATTTACTCCTGTCCCAATTAAATTTGCATACTACTGAAGGTGTATAGGTATGAATGGTGTCACTACAGATAATGTCATAATTGTTCACATTTCCTAGGAACAGTTAATTAAAGGGAGAGGTGAAAAAAAAAAAATGAGTATTAGGGACTTGAGCATCCAGCAGGCTTGTGTGAATGTATTAAGAGTGATTGGAGATAAGTGGTTTATAATGGGCATGTTTTTATGAAGGGATTCAGGGAAAACTGGTTAGCTGGACCTGGATCATGGCGGTGGGAAGGGCAGTTCCTGCATTGGGAAGATGGGGTGGGGATATTGTAGTCAGAGGGTAATCTGATTCTGATATAAACACACTTCTGGAAAGAAGGTGATTGAATGAATAAGAGTGTATGGTCTCTTCTTGGGGGGAAACAGATTCTTCTTTCTTCTTTCAACAAACCAGCCGCATCCCATCGAGGCAGGGTGGCCCAAAAAGGAAAACAAAAGTTTCTCTTTTCAAATTTAGTAATTTATACAGGAGAAGGGGTTACTAGCCCCTTGCTCCCGGCATTTTAGTCGCCTCTTACAACATGCATGGGTTACGGAGGAAGAATTCTGTTCCACTTCCCCATGGAGATAAGAGGAAATAAAAAGAACAAGAACTAGAAAGAAAATAGCAGAAAACCCAGAGGGATGTGTATATATATGCTTGTACATGTATGTGTAGTGTGACCTAAGTGTAAGTAGAAGTAGCAAGATGTACCTGAAATCTTGCATGTTTGAGACAGAAAAAAGGACACCAGCAATCCTACCACCATGTAAAACAATTACAGGCTTTCGTTTTACACTCACTTGGCAGGACGGTAGTACCTCCCTGGGTGGTTGCTGTCTGTCAACCTACTACCTAGATGGGAAACAGATGTGTGGATAAAAAAATTATGAGTGAATGTTGTAGCTTGCCTTAGTTCAGAAATAATCGATATATAAAATCTTTGGTAAGTGTTAATAATCTCATAAATTGCCTAGGAATACCATTTACTTTTTTACTAAATCATGTGTCATGGAAAAAATCCTGAAAGTTTAATTTTATTAAATGCAGTACCAGTATTGACAAATTCAGATGTTAATTTATAATGTTTTTTCTCACCGGTAAAATTAAATTACATGTGTGACTTAAATCAATATGAGGTTATAATATATTTTGTTCAAATTATTAGTTCATTAAGGATTATAAGGAGAGCTTACCAACCAGTTTTGCTGACATTTTTGTCAGTGTGCCATTAAGTAACCCTCTCTTACAAAATGATACAGGTAATCTGATTAAGGTTTTATATTTTTTCACCATAAGTATACACACAATCCACATAGATCATTTCACAAATGTTAGTACTTCCATTCATGACATTGCTGATACTTTTTCATAGCTGTGGCATGCTAAAGGTTGCCACTATTGCTTGAAAATAATGAATTACACTTCCCCTCCACACACACGTGCACACACTCACATACACGTATCCTCACCTTGCACAGTGGGAGATTACAGTACTACTAATGATAAGAGATTGGCTTCTGTTCACAAACGATGAGTAACTGTAACACAAAGTTAAAAGAAAGGTAGCGGGAATTAACTTTTATCTGGGTACATAACTTCAAAATGTAGTTTTACAAAAGTAACCAAATTAGGAACTAAGTTGTATATCCATGTACTACATCATGGCTTTAAATCCAAATTTAAAATTTCACAGTGTTGCTGTCCTTGTAGTTTCAGTAGTGGTGGAAACCTGCTATAAATCATTAAAATCTTCTGGTAATAATATAAACTAAAAAAAAAACATAGAATAAAAACCCAATAGTCTTTGTTCCATTTAAACCATGGTACTGTATATCAAAGGTATGGTTTAACCCATTTGGTTTAATCAATTGGTTTGAAGTGTCTAACTTTTAGAATTTATTTAAATGGAGCCAAGATGATGTTGCAGTGTTAATGCTATGTCTTTGCATGTAAAATATACAGTAGATGCTATAAAAAATTAGTAAATAATTCTTTTAAGTATTATTGGTTACATTAACTGAATATTAATTATTTAATTTTCAAGCCATTCTGGCAAGTGAATAAAAGAAATATTTCTTTGAGCAGCTACAGTTCTGAAAAACCCATACAGGCTTTAACACCTTGAATGTCATGTAATTCTTTGAGTAGGGGATTTGAGTTACTGAAGTGGAGTTTGATTTCAGGTGAACCCAACATCACGGAGGGTTAGAAGGGATACAGATTACTCAGGTGATTACAACTATGATGCCTATGATTACAACTACGAATATGAAGAGAAGGATGGAGACGAAGAATTCTTGACATTTGATGATTATGAGCCCGAGACGCGAGTAATTCCTTCGCTGGCCACTCCTGTTTTCCCAGAAGCATCTGCAACATATTACCCAGGGCATGGGGGCTATCCAGATGATTCTTTGCGCTTTTCACCTGTTCCTATCTCAACACCAGTTTATGTAAGTATGAGCAAGTTTAGATTACTCTATATAAAACAGTTAATTTAAGGCCGAGCAAAATGAATTTGGACATGGTCAGTCTATTGACTGATATTCATACTTGTTCCAACAGATTTCTTTGCTTCCTTGTTATGTAGGTATGTGGTGTGATGCTCTCAAACTCCACTGTGTTTTGATCTAACACACACACATACTTAATGATAACTATTTCTCTGTACATTATTTACACCCAGACTTGAGTCTGCATGTACACAAAATTTACTTTAATCTCTAATTTACTGATCAAAGTATTGTAAAGGGATAATTAGGTTAGATTTGGAAAGGAGCCATGTGTATTGGTGACTCCTTTCCTTGGTTCAAACCAAATTGCCTCCCATTTCCCCAGGTGCTGCATGATCCTCCATAGGTTTTAGAACTTCCCCATAAATGTAATAATAATAAATGGTTGTCACCTGATATTGTATAGTACATGACCAAAAATTGTTATTATTCAAAATTATCTATGAACCTTCATTCTGTAGAGATAGTCTGTACTCACATTGGATTTATGTGGTTTCTGTAGTTCTTGGTGATGTTTTCATAACCTAAATACTGTATCCGACTCTCTGCTTTTACTCCTTTAGACATTATTTTATTTACCATCTTTGATTGGTCACATTTGTCATAGTTTTACCAAAAATTTGCATTATGATTTTCATTTGTCTCCATAATTTTTCATAGTGGTCAGGTAATTGTGGGCAACAATTTTTTTATGCATAAAAGGTATCAAGGATTCATTTGATCTGCTTTTTTTTATATATGTACTTCTACATCATGGCTCATAATTTTTTAATATGGAAAATATCTCGTACACAGATCCCCAACTTACGACTGTCCAGTTTACAGATAGGCCACTCAGGTGGCAATTAAATTTTATGAATGCCATCCCACAGTTGCAAACAAGCATGAAACATAATCATCATGAATTTTATTATATCTTTTTTTATAGGAAAATAGGTTCTATTATTATAAACAACTCATTTGTAAATAAACAGAAGAATGGATGGGATTCAGACAGTGGTTCATGTGGGTAGCAAACTCAGTGCTGTAACTGTTAAACCATGATGATTCTAACTTACCTAGGGTTTACAGACTGTGTGACTTTAAGAGGTATGAGATATGGGGGTGAGGGATGAGACAGTAAGGTCACAGTTGATGTTCACTGATACAACTATGTCACAAAAGCACTGGTTATAAAATCTTCCTGGTTAGAAACCTTGTGGCTGAATGGTTACAGCCGGCTATCTGTATGGACCACGGTTTGAATCCCTCACCATTCCTATCTTTATTTATTGACAGTCATTCATAATGACTTACCACAGATTTAGCTTATTTATAAGTATAAGCATGATAAATGAAGCTGCCATAAATCAGAAACCCCTTGTTTGCCTTCATTGCATAATATCAGTCCTCTAATGGATGACAAGTTAAAGCAACCATATTTATTCCCACAATACATCATAAAACAAATTATCCACTTTTTTTTTTTTTTTTTTTGCTTCTAGTAGTGTTTATATACTTTGTGGCCACTTACCTGCTTGTTGATGCAAGTATCTGAACATCCAATCATGTGACACTTCACTGCCTAAAAGCATGCAGACATGGCCAAGAGGTTTATTTGTTGTTCAGACCAACATCAAAATGTAGAAGAAATGCAATCAAAGTCAGTTTGGCTGTGGAATGATTGTTGGTACCAGACGGGATATTTTGATTATCTCAGAAACTGCTGATCTGGGATTTTCATGCACGACAATCTCTAGAGTTTATAGAGATAGGTGTGAAAAAATGCAGCGAGTAGCAGTTCTGTGGGCAAAAAGACCTTATAAATGAGAGAGGTCAGAGGAGAATGGCCAGACTGGTTCAAGCTGACAGATTACACAGTGGTAAGCAAAAGAGCATCTCAAATCAACTTAGATCAAATCAAATCAAGTTTATTCTCTATAAAGATTACAATGTGGAGTTTACATATTATAAGATATTGTGTGGTTTACGAATTATATAAAACTAATTACAGAGAGGGCCACTATCACATCTCTGAACATACATCATGTCGAACCTTGAAGTGGCGGACTACAGCAGCAGATGATTCCATTGGGTTCTACTACCGTCAGTTAAGAACAGGAAACTGAGACTACAGTGGGCACAAGCTCACTAAAACTGTACAGTTGAAGATTAGAAAAAAGTCGCCTGGTCTGATGGATTACAATTACTGCTGTGCCATGAAGATGGTAGGGTCAGAATTTGGCAAAAACCTTTGATATGTGATGGAACAGGAAATTCATAGCATGAATGCGCATAATGCTGTTATGTCAACATTTACCAGAATCTCTAAGGAATGTTTCTAGCACCTTGTTGAATCCAAGCCACAAAGAATTCAGGCTGTACTGTTGGCAAAGAGAGGGCCCTACTCAGTACTAGAAGAGTGTACCTAATAAAGTGGACAATGAGTGTATATCTCATCAACTCTAGTCATTCCCAGAAATGAAGTAGTCATTTGTAGACTTAAATAATCTTGTAACACATATGGTCTTCACTTTCCAGGTTCCTGTCAAACCAACACGTGTTGTTGAGGCAAGCCCAACAGTAACATACGAGACTGCATATCCAACTGATGCACCATTCATCCCTGAGCTTGAGGGATCTATTGTCTCACAACCATCAACATCGGTAAGGTGTTCACCTTTTAATGAGGTTTCCTTTGGCTCTTTCATTATTTTTTCTTGTCTTTATTACACTTGGACCTGGCTATCATGGGCCCACTGCAGTGTTTCTTTTTCTTATGTTCTTATTGTGTACAATTGAATGAATATTAAGAATTTATTAACAGACATATGCAAGTCTTGGCTCATTGACAGTAGTATTTATAACAAACTGTACTGTACAATAAATAAATATGGAAATTGTGTTGACTTTTGTTAATGAGAAATGTCCTGTATGCTTAATAAAGAAGAGTGCTTGATTCATATATTTTAGGTTGAGTCTACAACACCTCTGACCACCACAGAAACAAAGACAAAGAAGCCTATCTCTCCTACCAGACCAATAGAATCCACAAGCGTCCCAACAGTTGCAGTCACGACAGAAATTGGAGTCAAGAACTTTGCACCACGTGTCAAGAAACGTATACAAAAATTGGCTTGGGTAAGCAGATCATGAATAGTTTTTCATTAGAAATATATTTTTTAACACGGCCATATCCCACTGAGGCAGGGTGACCTAAAAGAAAAAAATGAAAGTTTTTCTTATTAAATTTAGTAATTTATACAGAAAGGGTTACTAGCCCCTTGCTCCCAGCATCTTAGTTGCCTCTTATGACATACATACATGGCTTACGGAGGAAGAATTCTTTTTCACTTCCTTATGGAGACTAAGATTTACTGTAGCCTGCTTTTCTATATTTTTTGCTTCCATGTTTTGTTTGAAAACTATTACTAAGGAAATGGCCTCGTGTAAGATGTCTCAAACATTTAACTTTGTTTAAACTTAGGAATGAATCCTTGAAACATTTACTATGTAGATGAACCCCCAAAATTCTCATTCTTCGTAATCTGCATGATTCATCGATATAGTCAGCCTTTCTTAATGACCTAGATAGGTACCAGACACAAGTTTCAATAATGAATCTCATTTTCCCATATGTACCCATTTTATAACCTGAGGCACAGATCAGGATAATATTTCATATCTAAATACTATTGATATTTTTGGTGGGAAGAAGGTGAGGGGTGGAGGATCTGGAATGAAATTTATATCTATGCACTGTACTTGTGGGAATATGCCATTTTTATCTCTGCCCCATACCCTCCAGCTGCAGGAGGATCTCAGTCAAGAGATGCTATCAAAAAGTCCCCAGACTTAAATTTTCACATGCTTCCTGGGTGAAATACGGTAGTGGCATAAGTCATGCTGCACACTACACTCCTTTGTGAAGTAGTGTGACGAGATTCAGTGCAGTCGGTCATTTGGTTTAGGTTAGATGGGCATTTTTTGTCGTATTGTCAGTATGTTATTGTGATATTTTGTGTAACTGTAATCTTGAAAAGAGAGAACAGTGTGTTTGTGTGTGAAATTCTGTTTTAGGTTTGGTAAAATGGTTAGTTAAACTGTCAAAATAATCTAGCACGCATTTGACGATGAAATGGTGGGTTAGACAGTGTTTTGAATAGTTATCTCAATTCAAAGCAGGAGGAACATCATTTGAGGATAATGAAAACACTGGTCATCCTGTTTACGAAAAAAGTCATCAGATTATCCAGGACATTGCAAGTGCTGTGAGAATTTTTTATGGGTCATGTCAAAGCATTTTAACATAGGCTGAATGGCTGCGAAATTTGTGCCCCACTTGCTGAGTTAAGACCAGAATGACCATTTTTTGGCCAAAAACAACATTGTAGTTGTCCTCACCCTCCTTGCTCTCCAGATCTAGCCCCCTGTAACTTCTTTCTTTTTCCAAAAATTAAAATGGCACTCAAGGGGTAGTGCTTTAATGTGGAGATTCAAGCAGAATCACAGGCAGTGCTAGATGCCATTAGAAAAAAAGAATTCCAGGAATGGTTTGAGAAGTGGCAGAGGCACTGGGATCAGTGTATAGCCTCCCAAGGAGGATACTTGGAGGAGAGACAACGTAACTAGGGTATTAGGCAAGGAACTTTTTATAGCACCTCGTAAGTAGTGGTCGGAGTCAGGTGATGAGCAGCAAGAGAGTAGCAATAGTAGTAAGAGGGATATTAGCGAGATGAGTTGGGTATGACCTGCCATCATGGGCATATAGGCCTGCTGCTGCTGATTTATGTAGAAATTGATATGAAGAATTTGACTAAAAGAAAAATTTAGGTATGGGAATTCCAGTAATATTTTGAACGAAATTCTATAGTTCATTTTCACTGTGTCATTTGCTAAATCAAAAAATGACAGACACCTAGCTAGACAAAGTATGACTGAATTTTATATTATATTCTCATTTTTATAGATTTAATTCATAATTTTTTGTATATGATCATTTACTAAAAGTGTAGCAAGTTCATATTTTCAGGTAACATTTGTCAAGAATGAAGAATAATAAGAATTAAAGAAAGAAAGATTATTATCTAGGTTTCCATCTCAAGTTATGACATGGATCTTATGGGGAAATTAGGTTCACTTAATGTATTATTTACTAAACAAACCATTCTTCTGGTCTGTCTTGGTTGTTGAGTGTGGGTGGACTGTACAGTTGAATGTACCAGACCTGTATGGGTCATACAGGAGGAGTGTTGCTGTAGACATTGGTTTATGCTTTGGCCTGAATAGATTTTACTTGGTTTGTCATAACTTTTTGACATTTTCAGTTATTCTTGAAGTACTGAACCTGTGAAGGTCATTCAGCACTACACAACAGAGTGAGAAAGATAGTAGGGAAAGACAGATGGAGGTGTTAAGGGAAGGACATCAGTTGGCATTTTCAGGGTTGTAATAAATTTAGTTCTTACATTATATTTTTCCATAGATTGCTGGCCACGTTTATCGCTTGCCAATACCCCGCGATACTTTCGAGGATGTTGAAGATGGTGACACAAGTAACTTAAGACTACTGTTTAAGACATCACAAGGGATAACAGTTGGGCGGAATTCTTGGATTCAGTTTAATCCAGCCAAACAAGAGATCTATGCTTTGTAAGTATTATAATGATAGGTCATGTATTTTTTTGTAGGACAAGCTGAGCACTTGGAGGGATGTATATTCACCATAAGAATAATAATGGAGCTGGTTTAAATCTAAATATACTTTTGGCTAATTACGTAGTTAAAAGGATATAGTTGTGCAAGTGTCTTAATTATCTGAAATACTGATCAACCAAAATTTTATTAACTAAGTTGGTTGAGGGAAATTGAAAGTGTACTGGTACTTTTTTTTTTTTTTTTTTTTCAACAAGTCGGCCGTCTCCCACTGAGGCAGGGTGACCCAAAAAAGAAAGAAAATCCCCAAAAAGAAAATACTTTCATCATCATTCAACACTTTCACCACACTCACACATTATCACTGTTTTTGCAGAGGTGCTCAGAATACAACAGGTTAGAAGCATACACATATAAAGATACACAACATATCCCTCCAAACTGCCAATATCCCAAACCCCTCCTTTAAAGTGCAGGCATTGTACTTCCCATTTCCAGGACTCAAGTCCGACTATATGAAAATAACCGGTTTCCCTGAATCCCTTCACTAAATATTACCCTGCTCACACTCCAACAGATCGTCAGGTCCCAAGTACCATTCGTCTCCATTCACTCCTATCTAACACACTCACGCACGCTTGCTGGAAGTCCAAGCCCCTTGCCCACAAAACCTCCTTTACCCCCTCTCTCCAACCCTTTCGAGGATGACCCCTACCCCGCCTTCCTTCCCCTATAGATTTATATGCTTTCCATGTCATTCTACTTTGATCCATTCTCTCTAAATGACCAAACCACCTCAACAACCCCTCTTCTGCCCTCTGACTAATACTTTTATTAACTCCACACCTTTTCCTAATTTCCACACTCCGAATTTTCTGCATAATATTTACACCACACATAGCCCTTAAACAGGACATCTCCACTGCCTCCAATCATCTCCTCGCTGCTGCATTTACCACCCAAGCTTCACACCCATATAAGAGTGTTGGTACTACTATACTTTCATACATTCCCTTCTTTGCCTCCATTGATAACGTTTTTTGACTCCACATATACCTCAACGCACCACTCACTTTTTTTCCCTCATCAATTCTATGATTAACCTCATCCTTCATAAATCCATCCGCCGACATGTCAACTCCCAAGTATCTGAAAACATTCACTTCTTCCATACTCCTCCTCCCCAATTTGATATCCAATTTTTCTTTATCTAAATCATTTGACACCCTCATCACCTTACTCTTTTCTTCCTTTACACACATTCCCAAACTCATCCACTAACCTTTGCAATTTTTCTTTAGAATCTCCCATAAGCACAGTATCATCAGCAAAAAGTAACTGTGTCAATTCCCATTTTGAATTTGATTCCCCAAAATTTAATCCCACCCCTCTCCCGAACAACCTAGCATTTACTTCCTTTACAACCCCATCTATAAATATATTAAACAACCATGGTGACATTACACATCCCTGTCTAAGACGTACTTTTACCGGGAAGTAGTCTCCCTCTCTTCTACACACCCTAACCTGAGCCTCATTATCCTCATAAAAACTCTTTACAGCATTTAATAACTTACCACCTATTCCATATACTTGCAACATCTGCCACATTGCTCCTCTATCCACTCTATCATATGCCTTTTCTAAATCCATAAATGCAATAAAAACTTCCCTACCTTTATCTAAATACTGTTCACATATATGCTTCAATGTAAACACTTGATCTACACATCCCCTACCCACTCTGAAACCTCCTTGCTCATCCGCAATCCTACATTCTGTCTTACCTCTAATTCTTTCAATTATAACCCTACCGTACACTTTTCCTGGTATACTCAGTAAACTTATTCCTCTATAATTTTTACAGTCTTTTGTCCCCTTTCCCTTTATATAAAGGGACTATACATGCTCTCTGCCAATCCCTAGGTACCTTCCCTTCTTTCATACATTTATTAAACAAAAGTACCAACCACTCCAACACTATATCCCCCCCTGCTTTTAACATTTCTGTCATGATCCCATCAATTCCAGCTGCTTTACCCCCTTTCATTTTACGTAATGCCTCACGTACCTCCTCCACACTTACATTCTGCTCTTCTTCACTCCTAAAAGATGGTATACCTCCCTGACCAGTTACTGCCTCTGTTTCTTCTTTAACATTTAAAAGTTCCTCAAAATATTCTCGCCATCTACCTAATACCTCCATCTCCCCATCTACTAACTCCCCTACTCTGTTTTTAACTGACAAATCTATACTTTCCCTAGGCTTTCTTAACTTGTTTAACTCACTCCAAAAGTTTTTCTTATTTTCATTAAAATTTCTTGACAGTGCCTCTCCCACTCTTTCATCTGCTCTCCTTTTGCACTCTCTCACCACTCTCTTTACCTTTATTTTACTCTCCATATACTCTGCTCTTCTTATAACACTTCTGCTTTGTAAAAACCTCTCATAAGCTACCTTTTTCTCTTTTATCACACCCTTTACTTCATCATTCCACCAATCACTCCTCTTTCCTCCTGCCCCCACCCTCCTATAACCACAAACTTCTGCCCCACATTCTAATACTGCATTTTTAAAACTATTCCAACCCTCTTCAACCCCCCCACTACTCATCTTTGCACTAGCCCACGTTTTTGCCAATAGTCGCTTATATCTCACCCGAACTTCCTCCTCCCTTAGTTTATACACTTTCACCTCCCTCTTACTTGTTGTTGCCACCTTCCTCTTTTCCCATCTACCTCTTACTCTAACTGTAGCTACAACTAAATAATGATCCGATATATCAGTTGCCCCTCTATAAACATGTACATCCTGGAGCCTACCCATCAACCTTTTATCCACCAATACATAATCTAATAAACTACTTTCATTACCTGCTACATCATACCTTGTATATTTATTTATCCTCTTTTTCATAAAATATGTATTACTTATTACGAAATCTCTTGCTACACATAGCTCAATTAAAGGCTCCCCATTTACATTTACCCCTGGCACCCCAAATTTACCTACTACTCCCTCCATAACATTTTTACCCACTTTAGCATTGAAATCCCCAACCACCATTACTCTCACACTTGATTCAAAACTCCCCACGCATTCACTCAACATTTCCCCAAATTCTCTCTCCTCTACACTTCTCTCTTCTCCAGGTGCATACACGCTTATTATAACTGGTACTTAACAGTTAATAAGTGGCTATTCACCCCACATTGTTTCTTGTTTATCTTTATTTTTATCTGCAAGTCAAGAGGTACCAGGATAATACTGAAGTTTGCCCATAATGAGGATTATTGGATAGATCAGTCTCTGCTCCTGGTGTGGTCTGGTGCAGTTTTGACCCAGATGTGTGTAGGAGAGACTTGTAGTCATTACTTAATGTGGTCAGGGTCATTTAACACTTGATATTATTTTCTTCCTTTTAGAAGAGTTATTTCACTTTAATAAATTAGGACATCTTTCTAGAGCTTCTGCTTTGATTTTACTACCTTGTGAGCACTACATATAATTGTTATTATTATTGTTGTTATTGTTAAAATGTGTTAGTGCTGAATCCATAGGGATCATATTTTTCTGGGAGTAGGGACTGGGAGGCAGTTAGGTTTGATTCAAGGAAAGATAAGATAGGCTGAGTTCTTTAGATCAAGACTCCCTCATAGGCATCAGTGCACTTCCCTTGAGGGGATATTATACAAAAGCATTTTGGTTAATGGATTATCATTCATCAGCCAAGCTATTGGCTATTAACCCCTTTATTGTCATAACCTTCAAAATTAAAATATTGCTCAGTGTCCATATTAAAAAAAAAAAAATCTTCTGAAATGATAATGTTTTTCTGAAGGTAATGACACCAAAATTATGAAATTTGAGGGAAAACTTAGTTACACAGGTGCAAAGTTAGCAGTCTATTTGTCCTCTTTGAGTCCAATTTTAATCCAATTCTGTTACTCGATTCAATCATATTTTCAGCTATTTTGCTAGCAAGCTTTCCATTCTGCCTAGAAGTTGGTAATTTGGCCAATTTTACACCAAAACACTGTAGCCATTCCAGGCAAGCAATAAAACTATATTTCCTCTGTTTGCTAGTCACATTCCCAGGCCTCTCCTATATTATGCTTGCCTTCTATTTTGAATTCATTACAGAATAGAAGATTTACCCTTCTTTCCACAAACCGGCCGTATCCCACTGAGGCAGGGTGGCCCAAAAAGAAAAACGAAAGTTTCTCTTTTTAACTTTAGTAATATATACAGGAGAATGGGTTACTAGTTCCTTGCTCCCAGCATTTTAGTCGCCTCTTACGACATGCATGGCTTATGGAGGAAGAATTTTGTTCCACTTCCCCATGGAGAAAGATTTACCCTATTTTATCAGTAATAAAATGTAACCATGAATGATTGTTCATGGTTTACAGCATCCAAATAATTGAATCAGATCTAGTAAAAACCCATGAAACTGATCAGGGGGTGTAAGGTGGGGACCTTTACCTGTCCTTGGGAAAAATAAATTATTTCCACTAATTTGAGCCAACCTTCAAGGTACTATTCTGGTCCTGAAACCAACTACAATCATCTCTGTTTCAGTAGTATGTCTTCCATTCCATCAATGGATACCAAGAAACAGCCAATTAAGCCATATAAACCATATTAGAAAGTAGCTCAAAATCACTATTATAAATGAAACACAGGGTCAGTGTTTTGCTTTTCCCATCTCGGCTTATCTGAAAGAGCTGAGCTCATGATGTATAACTGCACAAGGGACCTTGGCCATGGATGTATACATAGGCGTTATATGTCCTCGCTACTTTACATGATGACTCATGAATCATGTTTTTAAATTAAAGATTCTGTTTGTTTTCAAAACACACACACACACACACACAACATGCACGCATGCATACACATGCGAAGATTTATCTTATTTCTGTGATAATAAATTTTTTGTTTTTAACACGTAGACCATTTCCCACCGAGGCAGGGTGACCCAAAAAGAAAGAAAGAAAACTTCATCATCATTCATCACTTTCACCATCACTTATACATAATCACTCTCTTTGCAGAGGCACTCAGATACAACTGTTTAGACATCCCTCCAAACTGCCAATATCCTAAACCCCTCCTTTAAAGGGCAGGCATTGTACTTCCCATTTCCAGGACTCCACACTATGAATTCTCTGCATAATATTTACACCACACATTACCCTTAGACACGACATCTCCACTGCCTCCAGCCACCCCATGCTTCACACCCATATAAGAGTGTTGGTACCACAATACTCTCATACATTCCCTTCTTTGTCTCCATAGATCATGTTCTTTGTCTCCACAGATACCTCAATGCACCACTCACCTTTTTTCCTTCATCAGTTCTGTGGTTTACCTCATCCTTCAACCCATCTGCTGACAAGTCAACTCCCAATAATTGAAGAAGTCATAGTAGAAACCCATAAAACAGACCAGGGAAAGGAGTCCTGCCCTTCCTCAGAAAAATGATTAAAAATCAAATATTTCCACCACTTTGATTCTTATTTCAAGCTACTTTTGACCTAAATTTGACCAAAATCATCTTACTAATATGTTTTCTAATCTATGAATTGATACCAAGACACAGCCAGTAAAACTTTGAAAACAACCCTAGAAAATGCCTCCAATGTCTATTTTAAACCAAACATGAGGTCAGAGGTTTGCTTTTCCTATCATGCACTGTGTGGTGCAGGATTTTTTCAATACTGTTCATAGACCTATTTTCTCATGTCTAGACTAAAATTTACCAATCACAGTCTACTTGACCAACACTAGTGTCAGTAATGTAGATTTATGAGGGAGACAGTGAAAGAGTTAAGGGCCTAGTATGTAATACAGCCTCTCCTCACTTAACGATGGAGTTCCATTCCTAAGACCACGTCAGTAAATGAATTTGTCGCTAAGTGAGGAGCATACTATAATGGTAGTGGGTTTGTGTCACCCATCTTTGATATTGTTTTAATATCACCTTTGCACCATTTATAACATGTCTGGTATATTTTTCAATGTTTATACAGTTGTGTACTGTATATTGTAATAATTAGAATAGAGGAAGTCAGCTCTAATATACATTATTTAGGTATGCATACTGGTCAGAGAGCCTGTCGTAAGTCCGAGTCTTTGGTAAACGAGTACAGTGGTACCCCGAGTTTTGTACAGCTCCCAGCACGAACGATTATTTAAGTGTATCATTATAAGTGTATTTTTGGGGTTCTGAAACAGACTAATCTCATTTACATTATTCCTTATGGGAACAAATTCATTCTGTAACGGCACTCCAACAGCCTTCTGGAATGAATTATGGCCGAAACTCAGGGTACCACTGTATGTCACTAAGTGAGGAGAGGCTGTATATGGATACAGTATACCTCTGAACATCAGTTAGGCTCTAAGGTTATCAGTGATTATACTTTCTAGTAAGGGTTTTCTTGTAGCTCTGTTTTGAGAACATCTTCAGTATTTTTCATATATGTCCATGCTTTAGCTAGGTGGTGTTGAAGCCTCAATGGTATATTGGTATGAACACTTGGTTAATCTCCTCGGTATTTCATTTTAACAATCTGTACTGCTAGAATAGGTTCATAGTTTTTCAATTATCCTAAATATAAAGGCAGTTTAATTTTTATGGAGTAAGGATGAAAAAGTTCTACAGAACTTTCCTTAATAATAAAGGTAGAATTGCTGACAGTATGTTAGGTAAAAGGACAAAGCTCCTGGAGAGCGAAATGTTGCCACAATAAAATATACTAGTAGCACATAAATTTTTTATTATACTATATTAAATCTACAATTTTGTTTAGAGTTTAATATATTTCTTTTAAAAGTTTGTTTTAGTTCCTCTTTTATATTATTCATATCACAAAAATGTGAACATGACAAAATTTGATTTGGTTTTCAGACCCCTTGAAAAAAATATTGGTCGTTATACGTACCTCTTGGAGGCTCTAGACTCTGAGGGTAAAACTACCACTGATTCAGTTATGATCCACGTGCAGCAAGCTCGAGAAGCTCGCAACTACAATCACAGATTCACTGCTACTTTCAAGCTCGAAAAGAAATACGAGTTTGAATTTGTGTACTCTCTTGACTGGCAGGTAAAGCATTTTACTTAGACATATTTTGTATTTACAGTACTGTACCTGAATTTCTTCTACAGAGAATCTTTTGTCTGTTTTGCTCTTGCTACTTCTTTTGAGCTATATTTTTTCCGTCATAAATCTCATTCAGCAGAATTGGTATCATTGTTAAATGATGTAAAATTATTTTAAAAATTTATGATTTTTTTTTTTATTTATTAATAACATGCATTTCCCTTAAAAGGTGAAGGCTGTAGAGAAGATTGCACAAACCTACAATGACCCAACAACAGACAACATCAATATCCGTTCCATTTCCCTAAATCCCATCAGGCTTACTTGGACCAATACATCATTAGCTGATCCACGCTCTACTGTTTGCCCATCTGATGAGCTTGAGGCTTTAGCTGAGGTTAGTTTTTTCAATAATGTATTTTCATATTTTTTTTTTTCAACAAACCGGCCGTATCCCACCAAGGCAGGGTGGCCCAAAAAGAAAAACGAACGTTTCTCTTTTTAAATTAAGTAGTTTATACAAGAGAAGGGGTTACTAGCCCCTTGCTCCCAGCATTTTAGTCTCCTCTTACAACACGCATGGCTTACGGAAGAAGAATTCTGTTCCACTTCCTCATGGAGATAAGAGGAAATAAACAAGAACTAGAAAGAAAAAAGAAGAAAACCCAGAGAGGTGTGTATATATATATGTTTGTACATGTATGTGTAGTGTGACCTAAGTGTTAGTAGAAGTAGCAAGACGTACCTGAAATCTTGCATGTGTATTTTCATATATCTATAGGAAATAAGGGCCCACAAAGTCCTCTCATATTTCAGCTTCTTTTATAAGAAAATGGTTATAGGCATGAAAATGCATATATTTTTTTTTTTGCATGTGACAGCTGAACTAAGTTTTCATACAACTTCATGGTCAGTTATTCTTTATTTGTAAAAAGGAAATGGTTATAACTATGACCATAATTTTTAAAGGGATGGACCAGGAAGCCAGCATAAGGCCTCAGTCAAATGACCATAAGCTCCAACAGCGAGTCATCGTCTGACTAACACCCACATCAACATGCGCATCCCTAGTGGCCCATAATTAATACTCCAGTTCATTCTAAGTATGGGCCACCATATCTAGTGTGACTTTTCCAATGCTATCACTTATTCTAGCACACATATTTTAATATCAGCTCCTGGTATCTGCAAAACAATCTATTACAGATCTCTACAAGTAGTCTAAAATAATAATATCAGGGAAATGTGTCGGCTATGTGCTGGAGCCCTTGTGCCAGAGAACTTAGTGTCATGATAATTATGCTATTATACACAGGGAATTGCACTTTTATATCTTTTACCCTATACCTATAGTTGTAATAAATGTTTTAAATCATTTTAAGGACTTTGTGGACACTGTGTTTGCACACAATTATTAGTTTTAAGTTTTATTATACAGTGCTTTTTCCTGGAAAAATGAACAAAAGGTTTACCTAATTGTTATCTCTCACTTTTATGTGATACTGTAAGGAAAAAAAGTTTGAAAAGTGAGTTAAAAAGGGTTGTCATATAGGAACATACTGTATATTGAAATTTAAAAATGTGCCTATAGCCCTATTTTGCAAGATTAAGGTAGTAAACGTAGTAAGTTATCATTTCAAAATTAGCACGGCTTTCCATGAATGTAAGCCACACACAATATGAAAGTGTATATTAAATGAGACAAGAGTGTTTTAAGCATTGATTGTAGTTATTACTTTAATGGGGGTGGAGTACTAAACAGATTTGATTCAAGGAAAGGGAGAATACCGAGTAAATCCAAGTCCTTGCATCAATCACACTAAGGAATAAGTCATGTGAAATATAGAGAATAAAATAGCATACCTAGAGTGTACCTGGAGGGTGTTTTGAGGCTCAACACCCATGTGGCCCAGTCCTTCACCAGACCTTGTGGTGGATCAGGGCCTGATCACCTAGGCTATTACTACTGGCTGCATGTAATCCAGTGTATGAGCCACAGCCCAGTTGGTCAGGTACTGACTTTAGGTGTCCGTCCAGCTTCCTCTTGAAGATAGCTAGGGGTCTATTGGTAATTCCCCTTATGTATGAGAATTGCTTCATGCCCTTTTGTTCATCACTTGTTATAGGGTTGTGAAATATTAAAATGCAAAAGGAATAAAATTTCCATGTTGGCATCATTGGTAATTTTTAAATTTCCCTCTATTCATTGAAAGTGCTGGAAAATGAAAGTTTTGAATATATATAGTACCAGATTATCACATGCATGTTACTGATATTTTTACGAGTTCACTGATAAGCAGACATGATATTTATTTAATTTTTTGTTTTGCATGTCAATATTTGTCACATGCTCATGTTAATGGGAATAGTCAGTGACATTGGATAGAAAAAATATTTTTTTAAATATAAGTTAACTCACTAGGTAAATGCTGCATGTTTCTTTTAGGTTGTGATAAGCGGAGATGACCATGAAATGACACGTGAGATTAAGGAAGCCTTCCAACCCGAATTTCACCTCAAGCGTGTCCACCTTCACTACCTTGGACCTTGTGAACGGCATGGATTATCCAAGCCAGGGCCTCCTAGGCCTCCTCAGCCAGGTCAGTCATTATTATATTACCCTATGAAATTATTTTTTTCCTGAAAGGTAAGGACATATACTTGTACATTTTTCTTGGTTATTAGATAGGCTGACCCCAAAAAAGGAAACACATTCACTATCATTTATTCAATAGCTGAATGCACTGTACTTCTCATCTCCAGGACAAGTCTGGCTAATTGGTGTCCCTAAATCCCTTCATAAATATTACCTTGCTCACACTCCAACAGCATGTCAAGCCATAAAAACCACTCATCTTCACTCTTTTTGATCTAACTCCCACAAGCCTGCTGGATGTTCAAGCCCCTAGCACTCAAATCCTAAGCGATTACAGTTGTAACATCCAAACTACAGGTAACCCTCCCAACCATACATAGGACAGTCCCTACCCCTTCTTTTCACCCCTGATTTATAAACCCTTTTGATCACCCTATTCTCCTCCATCCTCTAAATTTTCAAAACTCCTCCTCAGCCCTATGAATTATATCGTTCATAACCCTGCACTGTCTTTTAATTTCTGTTCTCTGAATTATCTGCACATTGTCCTTAAACATAACATCTTGAGTGCCATTGGCCACCTCACTGCAGCATTTAAACCAATGCTTCCCACCCACATTCTCTCTTTTGCCTCCATGGATAAAGTTAATACCTCCTATTCTTCCTCTTGTCTGTCGTATGGTTTCCTCATCTTTTATAGACCCCTCTTTCCATTCTGATATCCCATCTTTCATTGCTTAAATTTTTGTTTACTCTCATAATGTTGATCTTTCCTATATTTGTTTTTAATTTCCTTTCACGTGATCTCCCAAATTCATCCACCAACCTTTGCAACTTTTCTTTATAATTTCTTAAAAGAAGAGTCATCAGCAAAGATCTAGTGTGACAACTCCCACACTGTATGAAATTTGTTATCTTTTATTCCCACACTCTTCCCAGCACCTTAATATTCGCCTCATACAACCCTATCAATAACTGCATTAAATAACCATGATGAATAACATCACGCATCCTTGTTTAACCCTTTGGGAGTCGACAGGTCCTCTCAGAGACTTGTTCTCAGGGTCGGCCAAATTTGAAAAAAAAATTTGTTTTCTTATGAAAAAATAGTTTTTTTTTTTCTAAACATTATAGGATAAACAAAACTTTGTTACCATCAATACTTACCGAGATATGGAGGCGTGAAGTTGACGAAAAAGGGGCACAGTGTGGCAATATCGCCAACTGCCGTCACCCGGTATTCTTTTATTTAATGTTTTATGTACTATTTTCTATTATTTTTTAATTTTTCTTTTTCCAAGTAACTTTTATAGCCTGTGAGACCAATATGATCAGTATTTTGTAAGTTATTTCTTTTTCAATACTACACAATAAGGGCGTAAACACTGTTGTCATTGTTTTGTTTACAGTAAATATTTACACAAATGATATGAAATGTTGTTTATTACTATTTTTCTATATTCACATATACAGTCACAGGGAATGTTTCTAGAAGTTCTGCAGCCTGTGGAAGTCTTTGAAACATGGTGTCATGCACAGTGGTGTTTTACATTAGTCACACATAAAATGAGTGTCTCTGCGTTGTTGTGGGCGTTTCCTTGTATGTGCACAGACATAACACCTCTTCTGAGCCTTTTTCTTGAAAGCAGTAGCAGGCAATGATCACCATGCTTCAAACGAGAAGGAAGTTGTTGAAAATTCGGTGGGCGGTCTATTGCAGGTGTTCTTCCTTGGTACTTGAATACTATTTGTCTGATGACAGACAAACAGAATTTGCCGTGTTGTGGTTTGTTTCTGGTCCTCATCTTATACATATTATAAGCATTGAGCATGGAAATGTCCAGAAGATGGAAAAAGAGTTTTATGTACCACTTATAACTCTTGCGAACACAATCAGCAAACCCAATCTGCATGTCACATTTGTCCACTGAATGCATATTGAAGGTGTAATCAATCACAGCTGCAGGTTTTAGAATGGGTTCATTGCTCTCTCTATGCTGCCTGCCAGTGTCTGCCATTTCATTAGGGTGAACTGATGGCAACAGTGTGACATCTCGTTTGTCATGCCACCGAAATGCCATGATGTCATTGGCAGCAAACACCTGCACCTCACCTCTACGAGTGCCAGCGTCAAACCTGGGCATATGTTTCTGATTTGCACGCACTGTGCCACACACATCTGTCATGTTCACTCACAAAAAATCACTGAGTGAGGGGCTTGTGTACCAGTTATCAGTATATATATATGCCCCTTACCAAGGTATGGTTCTATCATTGTTCTAACCATATCACCAGAGATGCCCAATAACTTCCTGGTATTTTGCAATGTATAACTTCCAGTGTACACAATAATATCCAATACCAGACCACTGTAACAATCACAAAGCACAGACAACTTTATACCAAAGCATTTCCTCTTGCTTGGTATGTACTGCTTGAAAGAGAGTCTTCCTTTGAACAGAATCAAAGACTCGTCAATTACAAGCTTCCCGAAGGGATAAAAATACACATTGAATTTCTCTTTCAGATACACAAACACATGCCTAATCTTATATAACCTGTCGTTTCTGTCAGGCCTGGTTTTGTCTGAGAAGTGAAGCATACGTAACAGTAGCACAAATCGATTCACTGGCATTATATCACTGAAAGCTGGGGTTGTAATCAGGCAGTCTGTTGACCAGTATGATTTCACTCTGTGCTTATACACATGTGGCATAAGCATTATTGTGGCAAAGAAAAGATACATCTCAGCCACAGTTGTCTCCTTCCACTGGTGTAGACGTGATTTTGGTGAAAGTATTGTGTTTGCCATGGTGTACTCGTAGTATGTGTTGCTTTCCTTGACAATACTTTCCATCAGGGGTTCGTCAAAGAATAACTCGAAACATTCCAGTTCAGTGGCATTGTTCCCAAGTGTACAAGATGGCCATATTCCACTTTGGCTGTCATCAAACTGGTGGGGATTTGGAACAAAATTGACAGCTTCCTGCCAGTCTCAGGTGTGGTCTGCTGGTGGGTACTGGACAATGACAGGTGGTTGTGGAGGCTGGTGTGGTGGGTGGGTGGAGGATGGTGACTTTTGTTGTAGATCAGCTGAGGCAGCAGCATGGGTGGCAGCATGGCCCACTGCTGGCACCACCACCATGCACATTTTCCATCCCAATTGCAACACTATCATCATCATTTTCACTCTCTGTTCCTGTTGTGCAGCCACGAGATGTACTCTTTTCCCTTGGAATAGCATATGGCACACTACCAGAGCGCATATATCGTCGTATATATACTGACACTTCACTGGGGAATATTGCACTTCACTATCACTACTGGAACTAGTTTGAAGAGCTTGTAGTTCATAATCACTATCACTATCATCACAAATGCTCACATCTGAGTCTGGGATTTGTGAAAATAGGAGTTTCCTCTTTGATTCTGGTACAACTGAATGTGAACAAGACGGCCCAGCACCAGAGGTGGATGGCTGAGGGTCGTCTGGGTTTTCCTCACTATTACCGATATTATGGTCATTAGTTTCAGTCAAAACCTTGAAACTCATCTTCACTATCACTTCCATCTGTATTAGAACTGTCACTGGGGAACAAAAGTGTCTCAATTCGCTGAGGAGTGAGGAACTTCTTACCGCGAGGCATGGTGGACATTGTTTACTAAGATGGCATTCCCACAATGCATCACTGGATCCCAGATTTTTTTTCTACCGTGCACACCCACCGCACAGATCCATTCTCTCACATCTAGACCTACCAGCCTTTTCCCGCGAGATTTGACGGCACTAGAATTTATGCGTACTAGTACGTCAAAAAAAACCCGCGCGTAAGCCATACTAGTACGTCCGAAACCCCCAAAGGGGTAAAGCCTACTTTTACTGGAAAATAATTCACCCTCTTTCCTTCATAGTCTAACTTGAACCTTACTATCTGCATAAACTGCTGTATCTAAATCCATATATGTAACAGCAAATTCACTTAAATGCACCATTGTAAATACTTGGTCTAAACTTCCCCTCGCCTTTCTAAATCCTTCTAATTCCTCTTCAATCCTACTTTGTCTTACCCTTAATTCAACAGGTTTATTATTCCCTATAATTCTTACACTCTTTCTTGTTCCCTTTACCCTTAAAGAAAGGCACTATGCATGCTCTCTACCAATCCTCCCCTTCTTTCATGCTCAATTCCCCAGGGCATTGTGTCGTTTCTCATCCTCATAGCAGACATAGATACAAACACCCATCACAGTTTTGTATCATCATTTTCAGATGACACTAAAATAAGCACGAGTCACTTTGGTAGAAGACACTGCAAAATTACAGGAAGATATAAGCAGTGTTTTCCAGTGGGCAGTGAAGAACATAATGTTCAGTGGTGATAAGTTCCAGCTGCTTAAATATGGAAAGAATGATGAACTCAAAAGGAACACTTTATACAAAACTCAAGAGTATTGTCAAATAGAACAAAAGGAACATGTGAAAGACATGGGAATAATTGTCAGCTGACCTTTCTTTCAAAGAACACAATAAGACAAAGGTCACGACAGCCAGGAGGATAGTGGGGTGGGTATAATAAGAACTTTCAAAACGGGAAATAATGCCAGTGGTGACACTTTTCAAATCACTAGTACTCCCTCATTTGGAATATTGTTCAGTGTTGACAACCCCATTCAGGGCTGGAGCAAATACAGATTGTTTACAGCCTGCATAGAGCCGCCAGTAAAGCACTTAAATTACTGGGAACACCTTTGTCTTAAATATGTACTCACTGGAGCAGAGGGAAGAGAGATACACGATAATATATACCTGGAAGGTACTCAAGGGCCTGGTCCCAAATCTGCATATTGCCATAACATACTGGAGCAAGAGATATAGGAGGAAGTGCAAAATAAACCTAGTGAAGAGCAGTGGGCACAATGAGGAAACACTGGATCAACATTCTTGTAGAAGTCTTCAAGAGGAAACTGGACAAGTATCTTCACCAGATCAACCAGGCTGTGATGGATATGTGGGACAGCAGGCCTCCAGCAGCAACAGTCCAGTTGACCAGGCTACCCTGGCCCATGGCCAGGCTCCGGGAGCAGTAAGACTCGTATCTCATTCAAGGTATAGAGGTATATATTGAACAAATACATATACCATTTCAAAATTATATCACCATTTTCTTTTAATATCTCTGCCTTAATTCCATTTGTCCCAGCTGCTTTACCCCACTGTTATTTTACCTACTGTCTCAGGCACTTCCCACATCCACCTCTGGTTCTTCCTTATTCCTATAAGATGTCATACCTCCTTGCCCAGTGCATGAAATCATTGCCTCCCTTTCTTTATCAACCTATAACAGTTTGCTTTCCCATCTAATATAACTTGTTTTTAATGGTCAAGTCTACATGTTCTTTATGGTGAATATTGGCTTAAAAAAAAAAAAAAAGAGGAGGACTGGACTCCACGAGTTGTTAATTTCATACCAAAGTGTATATTGGTATGATGATTATTCTTATATTCACAAGAAAACCAACCATAGGTTATAAAGACATACTAATGTGTTTTGAAAAATAGTACAAGCATGACTCCTTGAAGTAGCAAGTACAGTGCCTGCATGACTGTACTGCACTGAGAAGGATGGGTGGGGATGTTGCCATTTGGAGGATCATTTGAATTATGTTTGTGCACTTCTGCCAAGGCAACTATTGAATGAATCTGCCAAGGCAACTATTGAATGAATATGTTTACTTCCTTTAGTCACCCTACCTTGGGGAAAACAGTTAAAGAACTTTTCAGAATTGACTAGTATTTTTTGCACTTTTATAAAATATTATACTCTTATAATTGCAGTTATGTGTATTGTTCCAGCCATGGTTGTGTAATTTTATTCTTTATATAATACTACTTGACATTAGTCAGGTGAGGATGTTTACTAGTGGAGCTTTGCTGTGCTGTTGTAAGGATAATGACTATTTCAAATTAATGTACAAACATACACAATAATGTAATGGCCCATAATATGCACGGCATTTCAGGCAAACCTAGACTATAAAAAAATTATGTAATTTTAGTTCATGAGGTTTAAAACAAAGTATTCGCTGGAGTTTAAAATAGTAAAGATACATTTTATAAAATTATTCCTTCAGGAGTAAATAATAGTAATTGACATTATGTAAATAGTAGTAATTGACATTATGTAAATAGTTCTTTTTCTTCTTTCAACAAACTAGCCGTATCCCACTGAAGCAGGGTGGCCGAAAAAGAAAAACAAAAATTTTTCTTTTCAACTTTAGTAATGTATACAGGATAAGGGGTTACTAGCCCCTTGCTCACCTCTTACAACATGCATGGCTCACAGAGGAAGAATTCTGTTCCACTTCCCCGTGGAGAATGTAAATAGTTGCCTGGCAATAATTTATGAAATTATAGTAATATAATGCAATATAAGTTATGCAAATATTATCACTGACATTGATAATTCTAGGCAAAAATATACTTATTCAAAACAGCATTGTTAAAATGAATGCCTAGGAATACAGTGTTTGACATAATACAGCATATTGAATACACTGTCTCTTCTTATGAATTACTATTATAAATTCTTAGTATTATATTGAATATGAAACTGTCAAAAAAGTTATCAGGAACTTTGTTACAGATGAGCCTGATGTGTCTGGAGGGGGAAGTGAGGTGTATGTCAATGAACCACCAATCATACGCAACCAGATTGACTTCCTTAATGCCACCCAGGGATCCTTGTTCCGCTTTCAGGTTCCAATTGTGAGTTAATCCTCCCTTTCTTTTAGTGTGTGTTTGTTTTTGTTTTGTCTGGTATATCATGTGTAACAAGTAAAATTAAAATGTATTTGCTTAGAAGTTGTGATATCTTATTTGAAATAATAACAGCCCTTGTATTGCAAAAAAGTCACTTTCCTTTTGTTTTTTAAACTTAATTATGCAAAGGATGATAAACTGAGGGTGTCGCTCTCATGCACTGGTGCAGTTCATGTCAACTCTCTCATTTGCATATAAACATTGTCTCCAGCATCCTGACATTTTAATACAGATGATGCAAAGGATGTGAAAACACTGTAGGCAGGAATCAACTAATTTAATAACATTTGTTGGCTTTCCTGAGACTCCCATGAAATTAATAATTTATAAATAAGCAGTGTATACTGTGGTGGCCCTCAGAACATCAAACCTAAACATTTATCATGGCAGGACAAGATTATCCCTTCTCTTTTTGTTTACTTAATATACTTTCCACACTTTAATATCAGTCACTAACACATTCAACATTTGTGTAAATACAGCTAGGGTGAGTGAATGACTGTTAATGGTATAGCAGTGTGTAAAGTGAAATTAGCAGTTACTAGCCTTCTTGTACAGGTTTTTGGTTATTTTTTTACCTCAAGCTGCACAATCTTAGATGAATTTCATGGAGTGATTGAAAATATGCTACAATTTTTCAATAGTTGTATATCTATAATGTTAGAGGAAATCACATGCTAATCAACAGTCTGTTGTATATCAAAAAAAGCATGTTTAAAAATCAGAAAAATACACTTTAAAACTATCCAAATATATGAAGAGAAATGTATGTACCAAGGTATTTCTCAGTCATGCACCATTTGGCAAAGATAATGTAAGAGACAGGTGAGTTCCAGTACAAAACCACCAATATTTTTGGGATTTATCACCTTACCCTCTGTAAATCTCCTCATATTTGATATTCTGATCTTGCATATGTAAATCTTAGTTAAGTTGGAGGTCACAGGATAATAAGCATTTCTTTAATATATGAATATTGTCATTACTGGCTACCTGCTCCCCCTTTCTCAAACCACAGAACTACTAAACACCTCAAATTATGTAGTTGACGTTAAAGATTGAAAACCAAAACCTTGTCATTATGGTAGTATACAAGCCTCCAGATGCAACTTCCCAGCAATTCCAGGAGCAGCTTGAGAAAATTGACCACTGTCTGGAAAATCTCTCAACTCCTGCCCCAAACATCTTGCTACTAGGAGATTTCAACTTGAAACACCTAAAATGGAGGAGTATAGCAAATAGCGTTTTGGCAGAGATCACCCTGGGAGGGAGCTCAGATCAAAATTCACACACACACAAACTATTAAATCTCTGTACCAAATTTATCTTAAAACCAGCAAATAGTAGAGCCTACAAGACTAGAAAATATGCTGGACCTCATCTTCACTAACAATTATGAACTGATACGTAATCGTCCCCCTTCAAGGCTGGCAGCATTGCAGACCTGGAGAATGTACAAAGAACTTTCATGGCACACATGAGTACGATAAGGCACCTAAACTACCGGGAGCGGTTGAAGGTCCTTGATCTGTATTCCCTCAAACGCAGGTGAGAGAGATACACGATAATATATACTTGGAAGGTCCTGGAACCAAACCTGCACGTGAAAAATCACTCCCTATGAAAGCAAAAGACGCAACAGTCCCCCGATGAAAAGCAGGGGCGCCACAAGTACACTAAGAGACAACACAATAAGTGTCCAGGGCTCAAGACTGTTCAGTTGCCTCCCAGCATACATAAGGGGGATTACCAATAGACCCCTGGCTATCTTCAAGAAGGCGCCTAAAGTCAGTACCTGACCAACAGGGCTGTGGTTCATACGTCAGCTTGCATGCGACCAGCAGTAACAGCCTGGTTGATCCACCATGAGGCCTGGTTTCACACCAGGGGCATTGACCCCTGAAACCCTCTATGGTTAATAATGGCTTAGCACTTCTTTTTTATTATAATAATCTGAATAAAGTCTACTGAACTTTTGATTATTAATGCATTTTTTATACAGGTGTTTTACTGTACATTAAGTGTTATATAAATCTGTAAAACATTAATTTAGTTCAAAGTAATGCTGTATAGTGAACATGACTGTTGTAGCAAAGTAAAAATGGTGGAAGGCTTGGAGCTGGTAGTACTCCTCAAGAGGTACCATGATGCTGATGGAAAAAAAAAAGAAATGACCCCTATGGCATAAGCATTTTTCCCTGGTTATAGTAAGAATTGGGGCATTTCACAATCTACTTGCTAGGATGGCAGATTGCAAAATTGTATAGAGGTTACTAATTTTTTTTCCCTCAAATTATGAAAGAAAAAGTTGTAAATTTTTCAATAGCCTTTAGCCAAAATTGCACCATGTAGGATCGAGGGTGTACTACAGAACATGCTTATCTTCCAGGACACTTGCTATGATCTTGAGGATGGAGACTCTCGTCGTCTAACAATGCGCTTGCTGACTTCAAATCTGTCACCACCACCTCTTGACTCCTGGCTGCAATTTGATGCTGCCAACCAAGAATTTTTTGGTATTCCTTTAGCTGGTGATACTGGTAAAACTGAATACATTCTGGTAAGTTTTGTATTTGAATATTCTTTCCTCTTAAAGTTGAGCTGTATGATTTACAAACTATTAGAACCATTTGGTTATTTAGTGTAACATGAAAAGCTGATATTATTATTAATAGCCATCATTATCAATTTTAGATAACTCAATAATTTACTGTCATATCATAGATAGTCATAGTATAATTAAAAAAATTATTAATCATAGTTAAAGTATTCATAATTCATTCCAAGTCATAGGCAGCACCTTCCCCTCATAACTGATGAATCCAGGTTCATTCTCAGGCCTAGTAGACATTATCTTAAACCAGTTGTCCCTGTTCACCTAGCAGTAAATAGGTACAGGCCACATCTTGGAGGAGAAAGGGTTATGGTTAAGTAAGATTAGTCTTTTTTCTAAATCCCTTCACAAAATAATACCCTGCTGAAACTCCAACAGCTCATCGGGTCCCATTATTATTATAATCAAAAAGAACCGCTAAACCACAAGGGCTATACAGCGCTGCAGGGCAGGAAGGAAGCAAGGGTATCCGGTGGCAAAAGGGACATGGATGAGTAATAGGTTATGGAGAACAGCGAGGCAGTGGATGGTGAAAGGGTAGAGGGGAGTGTGAGAGATATCATCATCAGAGTTTACACACCCTTTATATCTTTTGTTTTTGACCAATATTTATCAAGCAAATATGAGAACACATGAAAATAAGCAGCTTAATGAAAATTTACTATAATCATAACTGCAGATCATGAATTGATTCCAAACTACCAACTTTTTAAGTGCACACCAATGTAAGTCGGGGACGTATTGTATCAAGATATTGGTCCTGGATCTTTGATCACTCCAAGTGATGTGGGTCATCCATCTAATTGCTGTGTTGTGAGCAGTAGCACATATAAGTATATACGCATGAATTGAGATTTATTTGTCATCCCTTTAACAGTATTGGAGGTAGCTATTAAGGATGCTTCAATTAAATGATTCCTGTCCAATGTAAATCATTAAAGCCTTGTTTCAGTGCATGAGGTGGCACTATTTCAATCTGTGTACAAAAGTGTTGCTGGTGCTTGCAACAAGATGAAACAAGCAATTGTTATAGTACACAGGTCATCATGTGCACTGAAACGATCTACAGAGATAGGTATTGAATTCTCCTTAATAGCTATTTTAACACAAGGATGGTAAATACACAATTTCATTAACTCTTGCACACTTATACTCCCACATGCTACTGCTTTTCTCCTATGTGACATCAAGCTTTCATCTGACCATCTATTTCTCACTTCCTCTTTCTTTTGTAGGTGTCAATTGAGATTGCAGGATCAAATCCAATAAAGATGTGCAATTATGCTTTCATTCAAATTGTATCAATGTATAGTTTAACCAAATTATTTAAATTTTTTCAACAGGAGTGTGTGGATAATGGTGGAGAGAAAGTTAATGATGCCTTGTTTGTCAATGTTTTACCAAGACCATCAAGGAAGATGCCTCCAGTTGAGTTTTCCATGAAGATTGATACAAACTATCAGCAGTTCATGAGTGATGCTCGCCAGAAAGCCCGTTTGATTGACCGAATTAAGGAAGTGTTCAGCGATGCTGATGCAGGACACATAATTGTTGACAGCTTCCGTAAAGGATCTGTGATTCTAACATGGCACAATGGGTCACTGCCAGCAGAGCCATGTCCGAATGAAGATATTAGGAAACTAAGAGAAATTATGGTTGATAGTAATGGTCAATTGTTACAAGAATTTATTGATGCATTCTCTCCAGACTTCAAGGTGACAGGAGGGTCTGTAAAACCTACAGGTGCCTGCCTAGGTGAAGATACACCAACCCATATTGAAGAGGAGATTCACCATCCCCCAGTTGAAGAGGGTATTCAAGGAGAAGAAAATGACTACCTTCTCAACTTCATTATTCCTGCTGTTATCATTGCTGCTATGTTGCTCCTGGCTGCTATTATTGCATGCTGCCTTTACCGTCGACGACGCTACGGAAAAATGACAATGGCAGATGATCGTACTTTTGTCAGCAAGGGCATTCCCATTATCTTCGCAGAGGAACTGGATGACAGACCTGATCCAGCCAAGAGTCCAGTTATAATGAAGGATGAGAAACCTCCACTACCTCCTCCAGAATACCAGCGAGGGTCATCTCCAGCTGCCTCTTCAACACCTCCCACCTCTGACCGTCGCCGTCCACAATCTGGTGATGTAGCAGATGATACTCCTTCCTACCAGCCTCCCCCACCCTTCACTGCTACAAATGGGGCCTCTCGCCATCCTCGCCCCAACATGCCACCCACATACAGGAAGCCACCCACATATGTGCCTCCCTAAAACTAGTTCAGTTATGTCAAATTATGCCTAGTGGGTGAGAAAACCAGTGTAAATTAATTGGTTACAATAATGGTGCCTATATAGTGACTTGCCCAGGTTCATTAGGGAGACAAGTACCTCCAGTGGAACAGGGAGATATAGGGAAATTTTCTGGTGTCAAATGTTATCAACTATTTTAAATTTTATTGATTAAGCTATAACAAAATTTGTATTTAAAGGCTTATGTTAGAGACGTATCTTGTTAGTGTATAACTTTATTAAGAGATTTGTTATGGAGCAAAGTTTCCCTAGTCTTCAAGCTCTTCTAGAATGACAAGTTCGAAGTATATTGATGTTAGATTAATTTTATCATAAATATTTAAAGGTAACCAGTGTCACTAAAAAATAAAATTGCTTTTAAATGCTAATTTGGTGTATGCTTATTAAATACCGAGCGTTAACCTTAGTCTCAAAGAAGGGTAATATTTTACTTGGCACAAATTTTTTTATATATAGGACTGTCAGACATGATGTTTGTGTTAGTAACACCTGGAGGATGTTCGTCTCACTGTCATTATCACCTGGAGGGGTGTCACATTTTGTATAATCCTGAATATGTGCATCATGTGGTACTTATATCTGATGCAATACAATTTTAATAATGTTTTAGATATCTGAATCTTAACTATGATGTTGCATATGAGATCACTCATGTGTAATGCAAGACAATATAATGAGGCAAGCCTTTATTGGGGGGGGGTTATCAAATAAAAGATAAGTTTGCTCATTGTCTTCGTTTCACCCATTTTTGAGAAGTTTGACTAATTGCAGTCATACTTGTATGTAAGGCAATTCTTACCAGTGGTGTTGCAGGTTGACTAATTCTTACCTATATGTAGTCTCTGCACATATATTTAGAGGTTTACATCAGATAGTATCAAAATGTGGTGCCATGCCTCAGGTGTTGTGTTGTAAAAGCCAAATATTTTTAAGAGAGTCACCAGCAGATGTAGTATGAACCTCATTATTTTACTGCCATATGTCTTCTCTATATAGGAAACTTAAAATTTTCTGGTAAAATTTGAGATGGTGAACCAAACTAATTTTCTTTCTCTCTCAAGACTGGCCATGTTGATTGCCTGTCTTTACTTATAAATAGTATTTATGTAATGACTGCCAGGCACCAATACCTTGACAATCTAGGGCCAAATTAAATGATATTACAGGTATTAAATATAATAGTTTGTGTATAGCACAATTATAAATAAAATTAAAGCAAGCACAAAAATACACTTAGTTTTAAGAATTTGTGGGAAGCACTGAACCCATGAGGGTCATAAAACTTGATTGAAGGAAAGGGAAAAATAGATCCAGTTTCTTTGAGCAAGAGCCCCTCACCATTATCAAGATACCTTCCTTGAGGGGTAAAGACTTAATCACAAATACTATATAATTGGCTAGGAAACAATATCATCTGTTATATATTCACCTCTTAAAATATTGTAGCAAATATGTTTGCCATGTAATAATTCACTAATAAATAAAATCATGATGTTGCTTCATCTTCATATCAATATACAATATATTTGTGTCATTTGTTAACACCTGTACATAGCTACACCATATATTTTTTTTTCTTTTGATCACTGAAGTGTTGGGATAATTCAAAATAAACCTTTAGATCATCTGTCACCAGCAGCACCTATATTTTTGAAAGCTTAATCATAACTAGAAACATTCATAGATATTGCAAATTACTGGAATTCTTTCAAAACATTTTTTTTTTATTATATTCAGGAACATATGCTATCAAAACATTAATAACTTCACTTGATTTTCTAAAATGCATGACACACCAAAAGTTTCTTGATGAGAGATCTAGTCATCTCTCATAGAGTCCTCTACTTGCTTACTAGTATCCATCTAACAGCTAGAACTAGGCTCGTAGACATGAATGGCTGATTGAAAGGATTATTTTTCAGTGCATTAGTCGAGAAATTTGACTACAGGTTATGTGTATCGCTTTAATGATATGTTGGACTGACGATAGTAGTACATGAATGATGATTCAACATTTCTTCCAAATGTTCAATCTGATGAAGACTTCCTGTACATTTTTATGTAATTTACAATATAATGAAAGATTTATATTTGTTAAGGCATTTAATTAGAAGCTGTGGCTACTTTATACCCTAGGTATGTATGTGCATAGGTAAGGTCATTTAAGATCTTTTCTAGTAACACTAGGATGATACTTTGAGAATGTGTGTGTAAGGTATGGCTAATTTTTTTCAGAAGTGAAGCTTTTAGTTTAAGCAAATTTCCTATTTTTGATGGTAAATTATGATGTTTATTGAACGAATTGACTTTAGATGATCACCCAGTTGAAATAAAAGCAAGTGATATTTATCCTTATTCTGGATACCTCATTGAAGAGGAAGATGCAGTTGGTGGTATCTCAGGGTTTCTTGCATAAGGCCAATATTAATCTTTTATTTCTGGTTATGGTGTAGCTGCTGTACCCTCCTTAAGGTGTCACTTTGCTCACTGCCCACCTTATGGAGTTGGCCAGCACCTCCAAATACCTCTTGGTGAGCTCATTTTATTGCATCTTTTCATTTCTACTAATAAATACAATTTTAATTGAAATAAATTTGTAACAAGAACAACAGCTTAAGTTTAAGAATTAATTTGCTTACTATATATATCCCTGTAAAGGTTACATTTAATGCTTTTTATGATGTTAGTAATCAAAGTAGTTTTCTATGGTGTGTGTGCGCGCACATGCTTGTGTGTAAATGTACCTACTTCTCTATATATGGTTGTAGGAGTTGAGTCAGCTCCTGTGTGTGTGTGTTTGTGTATTTGTCAGTGGCCATGTGTTCATGCTTTATATATGGAAGTTCACTTCCTGCCATGTGGAAGTAAAAATTCCTGTCCAATATAAGTATTTATGTAAAATTTGTAATACTGGCATCTATTCAGATCGTATATCTTGAAGTATCTGTCAGATATGTATACTTTAGGTTTGGTATTGAACTTAAGAGTTTTATGCTAAAAAGATACATACTTGTTAATTTTGTAATGAAAACATGAATGTTTAATGTAAGTATGAGATACATATTGATCCAGACCTTTGGTGCTGGCTTCTTGGCACATAGCTTGAATGAAAGGATAAGGCATGACTGACCTGTATAATTAAGTTATTAGAGTAACAGTAATATTCTACAATTCCTAATGTCATAATGCAGGTTTAGATTTTTCTTTGCCTTGTAATTTTGTAGTACAGTAAATTAATTTTAACTAATATGTCACCAGCAAGGTAAAAACAAAGTCATAACATGCTAGGTGATAACATTCAATCCTGCACAAAGTTTAAACTGTGTGACTGCAAAACAGAGAAATAAATGGAGATTTTTTAAATATTTTTATTTATTTATTCACCCTAAGTTACAATGGAGTTTCATACTAAGGTACAAGCTGAGAAGCCATATTATCTCACCCTTGATACTGATTATTAAATCTTCTTGTGCTCTTCAAGGAAGAATGCCAGTGTATATTCAGGTACACTTCAAGGATGGAGTAGGTACAGTAGGGCCCCATTTATACGGCAGGTTTGGTTCCAGGCTGCTGCCAGAAAGCAGAACGCCACTTTTAAATGCAAGATAACAAGTGTACACAAACATATATTAAGTCAGCAATAGAATTAGGCATTAAAAACAATAAAAAGTAAAATACACATACAGTACACCCATTACTTACCTTAAAATATTTGTAGTCCTAATGTAGGGTGAGAGGCAAGTTTTATTTGTAGAAAGTCAGGTTTGGGAGGTATGACAGACAGCCAGGTCAGCCCACCCTACTCAAACGTAATATGCTACGACATTTAATTAAAGCACTCCAGAGCTATAAAATACATATACAGTGCATTCATTACCTTAATACACTTGGCCCTTAGCAAAACAAAGCTGAAGGGGGGTAGGTGCATTTCAGTGGGGAGAAATAAATGGGATTAAGTCAGGAGTATCTGGGAGAGTTAGAGCTAAGGAAGGGGTAGCAATAATGTTGAAGGACCAGTTATGGAAGGAGAAGAGAGAATGTAAATGTGTAAATTCAAGGATTATGTGGATTAAAATAAGGGTCGGATGTGAAAAGTGGGTCATAATAAGCGTGTATGCACCTGGAGAAGAGAGGAATGTAGAGGAGAGAGAGAGATTTTGGGAGAGGTTAAGTGAATGTATAGGAACCTTTGAACCAAGTGAGAGAGTAATTGTGGTAGGGGATCTAAATGCTAAAGTTGGAGAAACAGGTGTAAATGATAATGGGAGCCCTTTGATTGAACTGTGTATAGAAAGGGGTTTAGTTATTGGTAATACGTATTTTAAGAAAAAGAGGATAAATAAGTATACAAGATATGATGTAGGGCGTAATGACAGTAGTTTGTTGGACTAAGTATTGGTAGATAAAAGACTGTTAAGTAGACTTCAGGATGTACATGTTTATAGGGGCCACAGATATATCAGATCACTTTCTAGTTGTAGCTACAGTGAGGGTAAAGGGTAGATGGGATACAAGAAAAATAGAGGCAACAAATAAGAGAGAGGTGAAGGTGTATAAACTAAAAGAGGAGGCAGTTAAGGTACGATATAAACAACTATTGGAGGATAGATGGGCTAGTGAGAGTATAGGCAATGGGGTCGAAGATATATGGGTTAGGTTTAAGAATGTAGTGTTAGTGTGTTCAGCAGAAGTTTGTGGTTACAGGAAAGTAGGTGCGGAAGGGAAGAAGAGCGATTGGTGTAAAGATGTAAGGAGAGTAGTAAGGGAGAAAAAGTTAGCATACGAGAGGTTTTTACAAAGTAGAAGTGATGCAAGTAGGGAAGAGTATATTGAGAAAAAACGAGGTTAAGAGAGTGGTGAAGCAATCTAAAAAGAGAGCAAATGAGAGAGTGGGTGAGATGTTATCAAATTTTTGTTGAAAATAAGAAAAAGTTTTGAAGTGAGATTAATAATTTGAGAAAGCCTAGGGAACACATGGATTTGACAGTTAAAAATAGGAGAGGAGAGTTATTAAATGGAGAGTTAGAGGTATTGGGACGATGGAGGGAATATTTTGAGGAATTGTTAAATGGTGATGAAGATAGGGAAACTGTGATTTCGTGTATAGGACAAGAAGGAATAACATCTTGTAGGAATGAGGAAGAGCCAGTTGTGAGTGTGGGGGAAGTTTGTGAGGCAGTAGGTAGAATGAAAGGGGGTAAAGCTCCTGGGATTGAGGGGATAAAGATAGAAATGTTAAAAGCAGGTGGGGATCTAGTTTTGGAGTGGTTGGTGTTATTATTTAACAAATGTATGGAAGAGGGTAAGGTACCTAGGGATTGGCAGAGAGCAGAGTGCAAAAACTATAGGGGAATAAGTCTGTTGAGTATACCTGGTAAAGTGTATGGTAGAGTTATGATTGAAAGAATTAAGAGTAAGACGGAGAGTAGGATAGCAGATGAACAAGGAGGCTTTAGGAAAGGTAGGGGGTGTGTAGACCAAGTGTTTACAGTGAAACATATAGGTGAACAGTGTTTAGATCAAGTATAAAGAGGTTTTTGTGGCCTTTATGGATTTGGAAAAGGCATATGACAGGGTGGATAGGGCAGCAATGTGGCAGATGTTGCAGGTGTATGGTATAGAAGGTAGGTTACTGAAAGCAGTGAACAGTTTTTACAAGGATAGTGAAGCTCAGGTTAGAGTATGTAGGAGAGAAGATTATTTCCCAGTAAAAGTAGGCCTTAGACAAGGATGTGTGATGTCACCGTGGTTGTTCAATATATTTATAGATGGGGTTGTAAGAGAAGTAAATGCGAGGGTCTTGGCAAGAGGCGTGGAATTAAAAGATAAAGAATCACACACAAAGTGGGAGTTGTCACAGCTGCTCTTTGCTGATGACACTGTGCTCTTGGGAGATTCTGAAGAGAAGTTGCAGAGGTTAGTGGATGAATTTGGTAGGGTATGTAAGAGAAGAAAATTAAAAGTGAATACCGTATAGGAAAGAGTAAGGTTATGAGGATAAAAAGATTAGGTTGTGAAAGATTGGATATCAAACTGGAGGGAGAGAGTATGGAGGAGGTGAATGTATTCAGATATTTAGGAGTGGACGTGTCAGCAGATGGGTCTATGAAGGAGGCGGTGAATCATAGAATTGATGAGGGGAAAAGGGTGAGTGGTGCACTTAGGAGTCTGTGGAGACAAAGAACTTTGTCTGTGGAAGCAAAGAGGGGAATGTATGAGAGCATAGTTGTACCAACAGTCTTGTATGGGTATGAATGTTGCAACGAGGAGAAGGCTGGAGGCAATGGAGATGTCATGTCTGAGGGCAATGCGTGGTGTGAATATTAATATTTTTTTTTATTAACACACTGGCCAATTCCCACCAAGGCAGGGTGACCCGAAAAAGAAAAACTTTCACCGTCATTCACTCCATCACTGTCTTGCCAGAAGGGTGCTTTACACTACAGTTTTTAAACTGCAACATTAACACCCCTCCTTCAGAGTGCAGGCACTGTACTTCCCATCTCCAGGACTCAAGTCCAGCCTGCCGGTTTCCCTGAATCCCTTCATAAATGTTTCTTTGCTCACACTCCAACAGCACGTCATGTATTAAAAACCATTTGTCTCCATTCACTCCTATCAAACATGCTCATGCATGCTTGCTGGAAGTCCAAGCCCCTCGCACACAAAACCTCCTTTACCCCCTCCCTCCAACCTTTCCTAGGCCGACCCCTACCCCGCCTTCCTTCCACTACAGACTGATACACTCTTGAAGTCATTCTGTTTCGCTCCATTCTCTCTACATGTCCGAACCACCTCAACAACCCTTCCTCAGCCCTCTGGACAACAGTTTTGGTAATCCCGCACCTCCTCCTAACTTCCAAATTACGAATTCTCTGCATTATATTCACACCACACATTGCCCTCAGACATGACATCTCCACTGCCTCCAGCCTTCTCCTCGCTGCAACATTCATCACCCATGCTTCACACCCATATAAGAGCGTTGGTAAAACTATACTCTCATACATTCCCCTCTTTGCCTCCAAGGACAAAGTTCTTTGTCTCCACAGACTCCTAAGTGCACCGCTCACCCTTTTCCCCTCATCAATTCTATGATTCACCTCATCTTTCATAGACCCATCCGCTGACACGTCCACTCCCAAATATCTGAATACATTCACCTCCTCCATACTCTCTCCCTCCAATCTTTCATCACCTAATCTTTTTATCCTCATAACCTTACTCTTTCCTGTATTCACTTTTAATTTTCTTCTTTTGCATACCCTACCAAATTCATCCACCAACCTCTGCAACTTCTCTTCAGAATCTCCCAAGAGCACAGTGTCATCAGCAAAGAGCAACTGTGACAACTCCCACTTTATGTGTGATTCTTTATCTTTTAACTCCACGCCACTTGCCAAGACCCTCGCATTTACTTCTCTTACAACCCCATCTGTAAATATATTAAACAACCACGGTGACATCACACATCCTTGTCTAAGGCCTACTTTTACTGGGAAATAATCTCCCTCTTTCCTACATACTCTAACTTGAGCCTCACTATCCTCGTAAAAACTCTTCACTGCTTTCAGTAACCTACCTCCTACACCATACACCTGCAACATCTGGTGTGAATATAATGCAGAGAATTTGTAGTTTGGAAATTAGGAGAAGGTGTGGGATTACCAAAACTATTGTCCAGAGGACTGAGGAGGAGTTGTTGAGGTGGTTTGGACATGCAGAGAGAATGGAACAAAACAGAATGACTTTGAGAGTGTATAAATCTGTAATGGAGGGAAGGCGGGGTAGGCGTCGGCCTAGAAAGGGTTGGAGGGAGGGGGTAAAGGAGGTTTTGTGTGTGAGGAGCTTGGACTTCCAGCAAGTGTGCGTGAGCGTATTTGATAGGAGTGAATGGAGACGAATGGTTTTTAATACCTGACGTGCTGTTGGAGTGTGAGCAAAGTAACATTTATGAAGGGATTCAGGGAAACCAGCAAGCCAGACTTGAGTCCTGGAGATGGGAAGTACAGTGTCTACACTCTGAAGGAGGGGTGCTAATGTTGCAGTTTTATAACTGTAGCATAAAGCACCCCTCTGGCAAGACAGTGATGGAGTGAATAATGATGAAAGTTCATCTTTTTTGGGCCACCCTGCCTTGGTGGGAATCGGCCGATGTGTTAATAAAAAAAAAAAATACACTTGCAGTCTTAATGTAGGGTGAGAGGCGAGTTTTATTTGTAGGAAGTCAGGCGGTAGCCAGCCAAGGCTACAGTAGAATAAATAAAGAGAAACACTCCTATTCTCCTGTAACACCATTTTTAGAAGAAATGATGCTCTGAGTGAAGACATAAGAAAGGAATAATTTTCTAGTTACCACCAGT